TTCTATTGTTACTTAGTAACGAATTAGGAATGGCAATCTGCTTTCTATCTATCAAGGGAATCGTTAAAAAAAAGCTTCGTTGCTTAGTTACCGAGATACACTAACATTGTTCAAATTGTTTCAAATAGTTATTATTGTTAGATTTATAACTGTCATTGTCAGTAATACTCATTGAGAAAAAATGCCAGAATACAGCATAGACATGCATTTTGTTTATGGGGAGTGTGGAGGCAATGCTTGAGCTGCAGCAAGACGGTATGCTGAACGTTTTCCTGGGCGTCGACAACCGTATCGCGAAACCTTTTCAGCCGTGGATAGAAGGTTGCGGGAGACAGGATCAGTTTTACCTAAAAATCAGGAGATCGGACGAGGTCGAGATCCAGATATGGTCCACATTGAAGAGCACATTATCAATCGTGTTGAAGAAGACCCGTCAGCTAGTTCGCGTGAAATTGCTCGAGAAGTAGGGGTTAGTCACTGGACTGTGTGGAGAACGCTACGAGAATCTCTTTTGTACTCGTACTACCTCCAGCGGGTCCAGAGTTTAAGTCCGTACGATTTCATTCTTAGACAAAACTTTTGCCGATGGATAGTGAACAGCAATAATAAAACTCCCGGATTTCTTTCTTCCATACTGATGACAGATGAATGCTGTTTTACTAGGGATGGAATACTTAATTTTCATAATACTCACCGCTGGGCAGATGCCAGTCCTCACGCGATTTACGAGACGCACTTTCAACAACGTTTTTCACTAAACATTTGGGCCGGAATAATAGGTAATCAAATGATAGGACCATATGTTCTACCGGAAAGACTGAACGGAGACAATTACTTTCATTTAAGCACGTTTGCCATTGTTATTGGAAGATGTACCTTTAGACATTCGACGAAGGATGTACTTTATGCACGATGGTCCTCATGCGCATTTTAGTTTACAAGTGCGACAATTCCTGACGAATGTTTATGGTGAGAGATGGATTGGAAGAGGTGGACCTATCGCTTGGCCACCCCGTGCTCCCGATCGTAACAGTTGTGATTACTACTTATGGGGTTATATGAAATCAGTTGTTTATCGAACTCCAGTTAATAATTTAGAAGATTTAGAAGCAAGAGTTATGATGGCCGCAGAACGGATTCGAAACGATCCTGAAGAATTAAATAGAGTCAGTAACTCATTACTCAGGAGAGCAGAAGCTTGTATTCGTGCAAATGGTGCTCGCTTCCAACATCTGCTTTAATTTTCTTGTTTTGTTTTTCCGTTTTTTTGTTTTTTATTTTCGCTTATTCGTTTTTTTTGTTTATTGTAATTAAAGGTTATTTTTCTTTGTGTTGAAAATTGTATTTAACAAATTGGCTTAAATTTTAAAATCGTTGGAAGATTTTGCACAAAGTTTTTAACATACAATAAATTTTTTGTATTTGTTGATAAACTATGTATTCTACCTTTTTCCGCAAAGCAAAAGTAGAATATAAATTTATTAAGAAAAGATAACTGCTGGACAATCGAAAAATAAAAAGTTAATGTTGGACGTTGGAGTGTTAAGCAGTGTTTAACACCAATTTTTACCTGATTTTTCAGAATACTTCAACTGCTTAGACTAATTTCTAGGATCTTTTTTATTTCCTAATATTAAAAAGTTCTTAAAAACAAGAACATTTAGTATATGGTTAACCATTAAGAAGTAACAAAGAAAATACCTTAAGCGTTCTATGATTTCGGTACTCTAAGGGTACCTTTTTATTATCAATAATGAAATCACTTCCATTGCAAAGAGGATACTAAACACAGTTTAAGATGAGGGAATTGGCAGGAAACCTGACAGTTATTAGTACAAAGGGCAAATGAAAGTGCGTATAAAATGAGTTTTTCTGTCATTTCAGTAGTAAGTGTTCCTTGTTACGGTTCACTTTCGCGTACACGACTTGCGCCGGGATTGTTTGCTCATCTTGTTCTTGCGTAGGAGCCTCATGTACATTGTGTAAGTTCGGATTTTTACCTACAAGCGGCAAATTATTTTGTTGCAATTTTCATAACGAGTGGTATACGAACGATCAACAAGTGGAGTTAGTTGTCCTACATTCCCAACCGCTCCGCTTAATGGACCACATTAGGCGAGTGATCAGACCGGACTCGGAAATATGGACCGACGAACTTAGGTCCTACAGAGTCCTCCGAATCTTGGGTGGAGCGTCCTCATTTGTTCATCAAACAGTTAACCATAGCCGCTTTTTTCAAGATCCAACAACAGTGGTCCGTACTAATCAAGTAGAAGGGTAGTGAGGAGGATGAAAAGTTTTATCACGAGGTTGGGTGCCATGAGTTGTCCCTTTTTGCCGGAGTATTAGATTAACTGGGAGCGCTATTGCTATTTCAACATTTCATTTACCACACTGCTGAAAGATAGATTTCCCTAATCTTTCTAGTGTTTTCCTTCGGGATTTTTTTCAGGGGAAAAACGCAAAACCCCCTCTTTCTGGTATCACTGCAGGTTTTCAGAGGCCGTTTGTGGTGTTTTCTGAAATTCCGTCAACAACCGCGTTGGTACCCTTATTAGCGTGTCGGAACTGCGTCTATTTCGTTAAACGTCCGAAAACATTTTAAAACTCAAAGGTGTTTATTGTATTGATGTAATTATGACATTTTTGTCAATTTTTGACAAATTAGATTTAACCGTTTCTAAGGAAATAATCATCTTAGTTCCAGAATTTTCACAACTACCTTAGAAAAAAAAAAAGACAACGTCGGCAGTTCTCAAAATGTGGGGACTGATTTTTCGATACGCTTTTTAGAAAAAACTATTAACCTTTAAAAAAAGTGTTACTAGGATTTTTTGTTGTTCTCTTCTTCAGGAGCCTACCTTCAAATTTTGTTGCAAGCATTCCCTAACACCCTGTATATCCCAGAATTTTTGAGGATTTTTGGACAACTTTTTCAAAATCAAAATTTTTCAGAATGAAAATTTTGAAATTTTTCGACCACCTTTGAAACTCAACCAAAGACATTTTACATTTCGCCCTCCAGAAGGTCCTTTCGGCCTCATTTTTTCGACAATTCCGAGCATTTTTCCAAAATTGCCCATTGAAAAATAAAAATACATATTTCGAACTTAATATTTCTAAAATCTTGCCACGGAATCATAAAAACACTAGATTTTTGAAATAAGCACGTCGAAATCTAATTCCCAGAATTTTTTAAACATTTTAGAGAACGTTTTCAAAACCAGAATTTTTCACTGTAGAAATTTTAGGATTTTTCGGCCACCCTTGAAATTGACGAAAGAGATTTTTTTGTACATTTGGCCCTCCAGAAGTTTCTTTCAGCCTCACTTTTTCGATAACTCGATTTTATCAAAATCGCCCAGTGAAACAATTTTTTGAATTAAAGAAAAAAAATGTATTTCAAACCTAGTATTCCTAAAATCTTGCCCCGGAACCATTAAAATGCAATATTTTTGCAATCAGCACGTCGAAATGTACATCTTCGAATTTTTTGAAGATTTTTGGGATAATTTTTCAAAACCAAAATTTTACCCTTACGAAAGTTTCTGAATTTTCCGACCACTTTCGAAACTTAACCAAACACATTTGTACATTTTGACCCCCAGAAGTTATGTACTTTCAGTCTCATTTTTTCTATAACTCCTAACATTTTTCCAAAATTGCCAATTGAATCATCAGTTTTTTGATTTAAAAAAAATGTATTTCAAGCCGAATATTTGTAAAATCTTGCCTCCAGATTATTAAAACGCCATATTTTTGGAATCACCACGTTGAAATGTGCATCCCAGAATTTTTTGATAATTTTTAAACTCTTTGAACATGTTTAGACTACTTTTTGAAAACCAAGCTTTTACCCTTATGAAAATTTCTGAATTTTCCGACTACCTTCGACCAAAGATATTTTCTGGCACATTTCGACCTCTAAAAGTTACTTTCGGTCTCACTTAGGTAGGTTATTTGGCAAGTATTAGCAAATTTCGACCCATTTTCGATAATTTTCTAAATTTAACTTAAATAGTTTTTCTTCTAGATTTCGGGCCGCAGAAGTCACTTCCGGCCTCATTTCTTCGATAACTTCAACCTTTTTTCCAGAATTGTTATGAAAAGATGGCTATGTATATTAAGAAAGAAAAAAGGCAAAATATAAGCCCCACCCACCCGCCCTATCTCAATTTTGATGATTTTTTTATTCGTCGTAAGCCGACGGACGGAGCTTAATTGTAAAATCCTTATTAAATTACCATCTGAAATATGTTCTTAAGTAATCATGTTATAAAAAAGAAAACCAAAGAAAAAAGATGACTACACATATTAAGAAAAAAAGGCAAAATGTACAATGTGCAATGTGTACATTATCAAATTAAATGTTTAACGTTGTTAATAATGATAATAATAATAATAGTAATATCCCGGACTCTAGTTACGACCTATGACCTACCTGTAAACGATAAACTTATCGCAAAAATTGCTGTTTGAAAAAAGTGTATATGCATATAGTAATAGATAACAGTCTTAATTGCGCTTAGATATTCGTATGGAAGTATTTTTAAAAATACGTCCTCTAGACATAGTTTATTTTTTACATTTGCTATCTACGCTGAAAAAATTGTAAGTACCTGTAGTCTCATTTATTTAGTATCAAATGCAATATAAAAATACCTTAATCTTAATCAAATTACATATTAAAAAGACCATCGTAGATTTTCCTTGTAAGAAACATAAATAACCCCCACGATTTTCTCTCTAGAACATTAATTTTTTTTTTCGTGATCTCCCCTGAAGTTTGTGCGGTTGTCTCCAAGAAACTGATGACGTCATCTGGAACTGTTTTACTTTACGGATTTGTAATGATAAAGCGCACCATAAAACCAAAGGACGAGCGATTCTTGCGTTTTAAATTTTACGGTAGGTTTTATTCAAAACAATGTATTTTCGTGAGCTGATAAGTATTTAACTATTGTTTAATAAATATAGCTTAAATAAAAAGTGTAATTGCGTACTATCTCACAGGAGGATTTCCTGATACATTTAGTTTGACAGATTATTGTCTAATCCCTAGACAGAATTTATATTGTAAAAACACACAACGCAACATTTTTGGCACAGTACCAAAATGGACGCTCCAGTGACAATCACCTTCTCATGGTACGACTACGTAATTTTTGGTTGCATGCTCGGAATAAGTGCCATAATTGGGATTTATTTTGGGTGCTTTGGAACCAAACAGTCAACTCCAGTTGAGTACTTAATGGGTGGTAAAAAAATGGGTGCTGTTCCAATAGCTGTTTCACTAGTAGCAAGGTAATTATTTTATAGTACCGTCTCTATTTACAACTGGGTTTATTGTAGCCACGTTTCTGGACTAACTTTACTCGCTGTACCTGCTGAAGTATACAAATTCGGTGCAGCCTATTGGTTAATAGCTCTAGCTTTTGTGCTAGTTGTCGTTGTCACCATATATGTGTACCTACCTGTTTTGTTCTACTCAGAAACACCAAGTGTGTATTCATACTTGGGTAAACGCTTTGACGAGAAAACTAGAATGTTGTCTTCGTTTTTCTTCGTTTTGACTTTAGTAATGTTTCTGCCAATAGTTATATACATACCGGCATTGGCTCTCTCCGCAGGTATATCTCTGATTTTTTAAACCAAAACTGATGACTGTTTTCAAGCCACTGGTATTAGTGTAAATTATATATCACCCACGATTTGTGCTATCTGCATTTTCTACACAACCATTGGGGGTTTAAAAACCGTAGTATGGACCGACAATATCCAGCTAACTTTAGCTGTATGTGCCATAATTGTCGTTCTAATTCTTGGAGTGGACGCCACTGGTGGGTTTTCGGAAGTCTGGTTAAAAGCAACTAAAGGCCAACGTCTGGATTTTTTCGAGTATGTCTAACATTTGCACTACGTCTAAACCCTCAATTTCTTCCAGTTTTGACCCTGATGTCACCAGAAGCAACAATTTTTGGGCACCATTTGTCGGACTCACGTTCTTGTGGATTTCCTGGACCAACACCAACCAAAGCTGCATCCAAAAACTCTTCTCAGTTTCGACATTCAAAGAAGCAAAATTGTACAGTCACCCTCAACCACGACCCTTTTTGACAACATTGTTTCAGAGCCACCGTACTCTACGGAATCGGCATGTCTTTAATGGCGACTTTTGGCATACTGATGGGTCTAATCATCTACGCTAAATATTCAAACTGCGACCCTTTCTTAACCAACCAGTTGACCAGAAACGACGAATTAGTACCGTTCTATGTGCTCGATGTCGGCGGTCACATTCCAGGTATTGCTGGACTCTTCATCGCGGGAGTGTTTAGTGTAGGTCTTAGCACCTACTCAGCTCAGTTAAATTGCATGTCAGCTACCATCTACGACGACTTCGTTAGCAAATTTGTGTCAAAGTCGTTGTCAGACGGGAGGAAAAATACCATTTTGAAGGTGATTGTGGTGGTTTGTGGGGTGATTTCCACCGGGCTGGTGTTTGTGGTTGAACGCTTAGGAGGGATGTTCGGTCTAGCGCAGGCTTTCAGTGGAATTCCTGCTGGACCTTTGCTTGGAATGTTCACTCTGGGTATACTTTTCAGAAGAGCCAATTCTCATGGGGCGTTTTATGGGGGGATTGTGGGGTTGGTGGTCATTATGTGTCTTAGCTTGCCTGCAAAGTATCTGGAAAGTCAAAGGATGATTGTGTTACCGGAAAAGCCAGTCGGTGTAGATGGATGCAATTTTGACACGAATGTCACGTTTGTGTAAGGAGCATCAGAGTTTTCTGATTTTTGTTGATCTTGATTTTGATTTTTAGAAATGTAAACGACGATGGGGTATCTTTTGCGATATTTAGAATATCGTATTATTATACTACTATGATTGGATTTTTAGTTACTTTGGTGTGTGGGTTGGCTGTTAGCTATGCTACCACCAAGAACGTTGTAGATGAAAATCTTCTGAGCCCCGTAATTAGAAAAGTGCAAAATAGTTTATCGAAGTAAATATAAATTTGTTTGTCTTTATTTATTTAGTTAGTTAGTATAAAAAATAAAAATATTTTTCAAAATTCACAACCACGTGCTTGTCTATAAAAATAAATATAAATAGAAATTAATTACATTGTTGGTGCTTTCGTCTATTATACAAACAAAACTCCATTTTTTATTGCAGTTAATGAAGGTTTTAAACAAACATTAGTGGATGATATGATCTTACACTCAACATAAATAAAATTAGTCGTTAGAATGAGAAGAAGAGGGTGGGCGGGGCTAGTATTTGATAGAATAAGACTGTTTTTGGCGCTTTTGACATTTTTGATCATTTTTTAACTACATATTTTCGAAAATTAGTTATCTTCTAGATTTCTATATCCAAGAGTCATTTTCAGCTTCGTTTCGTCGAAAATTCCTACCGTTCTCCCAAAATCGATAATTGAAATATAGCAATTTTTACAGTTGCGTCAAAATCGCTCGTTATAAAATTTTGGTAGATAAAAAAGGAAATTGTTATTAATTTTTGGTTCACAAAATACAATTATTTTAAGAACGTAGTTTAAGAAATGTTTAAAAGTCATTTATTTGAGCCAATAGAGAAGCCAGTAGTCAGGTCAGTTGCATGAAATACGAAATAAATTTTATAGCAAATAGTATTAAAAAAAAAAAAAATACGATTAGCGTTTTTTTTACTTTTTTCACATCCTAGATTCCATTTTTTTTTCCACACCCATTTGACAGAAGAACATGATTAGCCCCGCCCACCCACCCTACCTTTTTTCCAGTGATTGATTTTATCCAATCAAAATGAATAAAATCTTATACTCAACAGAAATAAAATTAGTCGTTAGAATGAGAAGAGTGCTAAGGCAAATGACATATCTCCTAAGAAATTAAAGGGCGGGTGGGCGGGGCTAGAATTTGATGGAATAAGAGTGATTTCGGCACTTTTGATATTTTCAACCATTTTTCATCTAGAACAGATCAGGTCACGTTAGGTCAAATTAAGTCAGGTGCATGAAGTAAGGAATAAATTTTATAGGAAATGGTATAACAAAAATAAATTACGATTAGCGGTTTTTTAAACTTTTTTTATAACCTAGATTCTATTATTAGTTTCCACTCCCACTCGACAGAAGAAAATAAGTAGCCCCGCCCACCCACACTGCCTCTTTTTCAATGATTGATTTTATCCGATCAGAATGAGATGAATGATCTTATTCTCAACAGAAATAAAATTAGTCGTAAGAATGAGAAGAGTGCGATGGGGGGGGGGGGGCAGTATTTGCTAAGATAAAAGTGATTTTGGCAAATGACGTATCTTCTAAGAAATTAAAGGGCGGGTGGGCGGGGCTAGTATTTGATTGAATAAGACTGATTTTGGCACTTTTGATATTTTGAACCATTTTTCAACTAGAACACGTCAGGTTACGTTATGTCAAATCAAGTCGGGTGCATGAAGTAACAAATAAATTTTATAGGAAATAGTATCACAAAAAAATACGATTAGTTTTTTTTTCTTACTTTTTTTACAACCTGGATTCTATTATTAGTTTCCACTCTCACTCGACAGAAGAAAATATTTAGCCCCACCCACCCACCCTGTCTCTTTTTCAGCGATTGATACTCAACAGAAATAAAATTAGTCGTTAGAATGAGAAGAGGGAGGTGGGCGGGGCTTGTATTTGATGGAATAAGACTGTTTTTGGCGCTTTTGACATTTTTGACCATTTTTTAACTACATTTGTTCGAAAATTAGTTATCTTCTAGATTTCTATTCCAAAAGTCATTTTCAGCTTCGTTTCGTCGAAAATTCCTACCGTTCTTCCAAAATCGATAATTGAAATATAGCAATTTTTACAGTTGTGTCAAAATCGCTCGTTATAAAATTTTGGTAGATAAAAAAGGAAATTGTTATTAATTTTTGGTTCACAAAATACAATTATTTTAAGAACGTACTTTGAGAAATGTTTAAAAGAAGTCATTTATTTGAGACAACAGAGAAGCCAGTAGTCAGGTCAGTTGCATGAAATACGAAATAAATTTTATAGCAAATAGTATAACAAAAAAAAAAATAAAAATAAATAAAAATACGATTAGCGTTTTTTTAAAATTTTTTTCACATCCTAGATTCCATTATTTTTTTCCACACCCACTCGACAGAAGAACATGATTAGCCCCGCCCACCCACCCTACCTTTTTTCCAGTGATTGATTTTATCCAATCAAAATGAAATTAATGATCTTATACTCAACAGAAAAAAAAATTAGTCGTTAGAATGAGAAGAGTGCGATGGTCGGGGCTAGTACTTGCTAAGATAAAACTGATTTTGGCAAATGACATATCTTCTAAAAAATTAAAAGGCGGGTGGGCGGGGCTAGAATTTGATAGAATAAGACTGCTTTCGGCCCTTTTGATTGATACTTTCAATCATTTTTCATCTAGAACAAATCAGGTCACGTTAAGTCAAATCAAGTCAGGTGCATGAAGTAAGAAATAAATTTTATAGAAAATGGTATAACAAAACAAATATTACTTGATTTAATTTATCTTATTTCTCTGAAATTTAGAGAAACTGAGTATAAGTACAACAACTTATCTTAACGATAGTACGCAAGGTTTCACAATATATTGTAAGTGTCAAACTTAATTCTGTAGTATTTAAGCGGTCTAGACGTCACACAGGTGAGAAAAAGAAGATAAACAAAAGTAATAACAAGAGAGCCACACGAACATAGTTCAAGAGTCCCCAACATTTTACGAATTGGATACGAGGGGATTTCTAGAACTTTTAGTTCCAAAGATTGATTTCATAGCTGGAAATACTTACCACAATCGAATTCCAAAATTTGTAATCATAATCAATGACGTGCGTGAGTGGACCTAGAAATGATTTGTACAGCATTTCACGCACTTTACACTAATATTTACATATTTTGTGATCCCCTAATTTTAGTATTGTAAAAATTCAAAATTTTCAAGGGATTAACTAGAGATGCACTTTTTTTTCGAAAATCGTCGTAACAAAATTACCAAGTCCGACGCTAGAAAATCCTTTTGGTATAATAAATGTCAACCCGCTAAACACAAACCACATAACCTCAAAATTTGTGATTTTTGTTGGTGACCAGCTGGTCGTCCTGCTGGGTGTTGTTTGTTATTTTTTTTTTAATTATTTATTTCAATCTAATATATTTTACAGTAATGTATATACTTAAGCAGATACAAGGTGACGCTCGTCCATTTTGTTAATCAAATTTAATAAGTTTTGTTTAGGTCAAGGGTTGTTTTACTTGATAAAAGACAAGGAGTATGTGGTTGGACGAAAAAATGCAGATATAGTATTAGCTGACGACCAATCAATCAGCAGAAAACATGCAACTATTAGTGTTAAAGTAGATAACAAAATAGCTTTGTGTGCATGGAGTGTGATAAACTTTGTTATAGGGTGACTCTGTTATGTTAACAGACTGTGATTCGAAGTATGGAACTTCTCATAATAGCAAAAAGGTGACATCAAAGGTTGATGTGGTGTTGGAGCATCAAGATGTGATAAAATTTGGAATGTATGGTAGCAAATATGAGTAAGTACTATATTTTTTTTATTTTTGTCTTCTGAAAATACTTCCCTACTTTATTTCTTTTAGAGTTGAAGTTGTCAATGTAATAACCGCTGCGTCTGGTTTAACGCAACAACAAAAAACTGATTTAAAAAATAAACTTGATTCATTAAAAGGTTCTCTTGTTAGTCACTGGAACAATGCATGTACACATTTAACTGCACATGAAATAATGTTAACTGTTAAAGTACTAAATGCCATAATTGATGATAAACCAATAGTGACACCTCAGTATTGGGACGCATTTTTAAAAAACATAAAAGATTCAAAACCGTTACCTAACACTGAGGACTACAAACCCCCGGTAACCGAAGCCCTAATTAACAAAGTAAATTTATCGGTTAATCCATCCAGGAAGGTGCTATTTAAAGGAAAAGTGTTCGTGTTTCCGACGGAAAAAATTAAGAAGAAAATGGCCGACCTTATCACCAAGGCAGGTAAGATAAGATTGTCACCTCTAAATTTTGCATGGTAAATGTTATTCAAATTTTATAAAATAATATATATTTGTGTACGTGTGGTTTATGCATCCGCCTTACATGTTTACTTGTCAAGGTGGCCATAGCATCTCCTGGGAAAAACAACCCTTTTCGCTACCTGAGTTAACCAAGTCCAAAAACAAGTATTTGTTTATCCGCGATGAAACGGATGAAGTTCCTCCACTATTAAAAGATATCCACACACATCTGACAAATTTAGGTGAACGCATGATTCCAATCCAAGAAATCGCGATGGCGATTGTTTTCTGCTCTTGCGAAAAAGACTGCAATCCGAAATTCAACCGACTTCATAGCGTTTTTCAAATGCATCCGGACACCGAATCGGATGTTTTTTCTTTGGCACCGAACACTCCGTCGGAAGACGGATTCTACGAAACCGGAATTATCAAAAAGGAAGTGATTATTCCAGAATCTCTGGACGCAGATGGCGATTTGTTTGCAACACCAAAGCCGCCTACGCCGTTGTCTGTTACACCACGTGCTAGCACGTCCAAAGTTGCCGAAAAAGAGCTACCAAAAATAGACAACGCAGCCAAAAAAGCACCAGAAGCTACTAAACCAGTTGCAGACAAAGCTAAAAACCCGTTTAGTCCTCCGAATAACGTCCCTAGTACTTCGAAAAAGGGACACGCGTTTGAGAATCCACCACCAAAAAGAGCGCGATTGGACGATAGTTTGACGTCAACAAATCAATCGACCGAATCAGTTTCTAAAAAAAGACCAGCTGATGAAAGTCTAACGTCTACCTCAAAGCGAACCGCGATTTTAATCCAAGACTCACTTTCCGAATCCAAGAAGCGAAAAGCAGATGAAACCTTGGGTTCTACACGGAAAAAAGCAACCAAAGCAAACCCGTTCGCGTTTTTGCGAAGACAGGAAGCAGGAAACCCTTTCGCCTCTCTTCGACTGAAGAAAGAGGTCGATGAAGACAATGCGGACAATGAATTTTTGCAAATCCTCAACCAGCGTCCAGAGAAAGCCGCTCCAGTCGTTGCGGACGCACCGCTCGAGGTAAAACCGTTGGCGTACGACTACGTACCTTGCGACTCCTCGAACATCAAGTGGTTGTCGACGTCCTTTAAAAGCGAGGACGGGGATGAAAGTCTGGTCGAAAGCGAAGTCGAGCCCGAATTTAAGGAACTGTTCGAGAAGTTCAAGAACACGGTCGTCATAGAACCCATTCCTGTGGCTTCGTTTCGAATCGTGCCGCCGCGTCCTACTCCGATCAGTCTTGACACGAGTGGAGATAGAAAGAATTTCAAGAAATTCAGAAAAGTAAGACGCGTGAGGTGTGCGGGGGTTGTTTTGACGGTTTTTTTGTAGGTGCAGCCGCGGCATCCGCAAACTACTATTCTGGTGACTTCATTGCGAGGGTCGGTTAGGGAGGAGAGTCACGTGTTGTTGTCGGATGGTGAGGAGGAAGATCGTGTGGAAGAACCCGTGCAGTCTGTGCCCAGACCTGCGAAGCCAAAAACTTCCAATTCGACCTTTAATTTTTAGATTTGTATTTATACACTTGTACGTTCCTTAAAATATATGATGTTAATAATAATAATAATTTATTGACGGGAAAGTACAAAATAATTAAAGAACCAAATATAAATATATAAACTAATTTACAAAAATTAAGAAAAATAAAAAAAGTTTGGTAATTCTCAAATCTACCTAAGCTAAATGAGTTTCTTTTTTTACGACATAAATTTTTCAATTCTCTATTGAATCATCTAGTAAAAAAAAATCTACAGGGTTTCTATAAATGATTATACGGTCGAAGTTGGTAATGAACACGTGCCGCCTCCCATTTTGGACCTTACTAAATGCCCAAGGGCACACAACAAATACCACACGCATCTATATAACTGGTTGCCTAAACGCTTTATATCTTTTAAAAAAATAAAACTAACTCAATACAAGAAAAAAAAATTATTGCGGTTAAACATCAATATACATTCGTCAATGCCCATTGTTCAGTTTGATCTTAAACGAGGAACTCCTGTCTGCTGAGGAAATTTTGTCAAAGATGTTTGCGGATTCTGCTTAACTGACCATTTTACTCATGTTTTCAGTTTCTTGTTGTCGAAATAATTCTAAACATACTAAAAAAACAAAGCAAAATGTAGCCCCGCCCACCCACCCTATCTCAATTGTGATAATTTTTTTTTATTCGTTGTGAGCCAAGGGGACGGAGCTTAACTGCAAAATCCTTATTTCAATTAGATGAATTTTTCATTCGTTGTCAGATCGAGGGGCGGGACTTAATTGCAAGATCCATATTTGTATACAAGAATTTACCATATTAAACAAGTTTCTTGTTCTGAAAACACTACTATGCGTAATAAGGAAAAAGGCAAAATATAAGCCCCGCCCACCCGCCTTATCTCGATTGTAATTATTTTTTCTTAATCGTCGAGAGCCAAAGGAGCGGAATTTAAATACAAAATTTTTATTATTTCTCTACCAGAAATTACCATGTAAGACATTTTTTTGAATAACCTGTTAACAAAAAATTAAATCCAAAGATTAAGCCCCACCCATACCTGCCCTGATGTAAATAGTAATGAAGTTGTCATTCTTTGGCAGACCTAGGGGAGGCGCCTAATTGCAAAATCCATATTTCCTTACAAAAATTTACCATTTTAAACGTGTTTTAAGTTTCTAATAAAAAAAATCATCACAATTGAGATGGGGTGGATGGGCGGGGTTTATATTTTGGCTTTTTTCTTAATATACATAGTATTTTTTGACCAACACGATACTCAAAAACACCTTTTTAATTTCTTGCAAACAAAAAGTATTTTGCAGTTAAGCTCTGTTCCCTTGGTTCACAGCGAATAACAAAAAATCATCACAATTGACATAGGGCGGGTGGGCGGGCTTATATTTTGTCTTTTTGTTTTGCTATGTGTAGACTTCTTTTCACAACATGAAATTTACAACATGTTTAAAATGGAAAATTTGTATAAGGAACAGTGGCGGCTCCTCAGAGGAGGCAGGGGAGGCTGAGCCTCCTCTGTTTTTTGGAGCTGAGCTACCTCTAATTTTTTCGATGAAAGAATTTGTATTTTTATAGACATTTGTTACTTTTCAGAATATTTTGTTTGATTTAATTTACTTTCATCATATATCAGGTTAAAATATCGAAAAAAATTATATTTGCGCCCTTACAATCATAATTCACACCACTCCGCGTTTGGCTCCAGCGGTGGAAGCTAGCCTCCGCCGAGAATGCATCTTACTATTGAGACCGCAACCTTGACGCATCATCGTTCAGCACTGCATTGGCTAAAATGTTCATCGTGGTGCCGCTTCAGGCCGCTAGCCTCCGGCTAGTGCATCTCTTTTCAAATCAAGTCGCACGGATAATTTTATCTCTTTCTTATTAACTGGCGCGATCGGGTGTAAATTGGAAAAACATTGAGGTGGTTTCGCGTGCTCCCTATTCAGTGGTGAATGGTGTTTAGGCTTTAGTACCTACGTAAAGCCTAAGGTGTTTTTTATATCATTTATTTGCGTTTTATTTCTGATCGTTAAAAACAGCTGGTATTATCGGCATATTAATATTACTATTACTTATATATACATAGAATGAGCAACGAAAATAAGGCAGTCTCATGTGCAGTGTAAAGGCATGAAAAATCACGGGAACATATATTTTCTTCTACTACTTTAGATTCCGCTCATAAGAGGGATATTGAGAACTATAACGAGAAAGTTGGTGAAAATAGGGCAATTTTGAAAAGACTAATCGATGCAATAGTTTATCTCTAGTGTTCTTTTCGTGAGCATGACAAAAAAAATTATTCAGATAATGAAGGATATAAAAAGTAGTGGTTTTCAAATTTGAGCCTCCTCTGAAGAAAACTTCACGAGCCGCCACTGATAAGGAAATATCGTTTTTGCAATAGGCCCCGCCCCATAATTGCGAAAATCTTATTTTCTTTGCAAAAACCATTTTAAGCAGTTTTAAGTTTCTTGTTATGAAAAGATGGCTATGTAATTAAGAAAAAAAGGCAAAATATAAGCCCCACCCACCCGCCCTATCTAAATTCTGATGATTTTTTTCAATCGTCGTAAGCCGAGGGGCGGAGCCTAATTGTAAAATCCTTATCTTTCTACGAGAAATTACCATGTGAAATATGTTCTTAATCTTAAGTAATCGTGTTATACAAAGAAAACTAAATGTGTTAATTAAAAAAGAAAACCAAAACATAAGCCCCACCCATCCGTCTCGATCTCAACCGTGATGATTTCATTCGTTGTCAGACCAGGGGGCGGAGCGTAATTGAAAAATGGATATTTCCCTATACAAGTTTACCATTTTAAACATGTTCTAAGTTTTTTGTTGTGAAAAGATGGCTAAGTATATTAAGAAAAAAAAAAGGCAAAATATAAGCCCCGCCCACCCGTCCTATCTCAATTCAGATGTCGTAAGCCAAGGGCTAAGGAGAGGAACTTAATTGCAAAGTCCTTATTTCTCAACAAGAAATAAAAACATGTTTTAGAGTATCGTGTTGCTCAAAGAATGCTACGTATATTAAGAAAAAAACAACCCAGAAATTAAGCCCCACCTATATCCATCCCAAGCTCAATTGTGATGAATTTTTCATTTGTTGTCAGACCTAGAGGCGGAGCCTAATTGCAAAATCGATACTTTCCTACAAAAATTTACCATTTTAAACATGTTTTACCTTTCTTGTTGTGAAAAGAAGACTACACATATGTATTAAGAAAAAAAAGGCAAAATGTAGTTATAATACCTAATCTGTTTTTGAGACGGATGGTGTGAATTAAAATTTCGCGCTAAAAAAATTAACAACGGCGCGAAATCGCATTTGAATAATTTGAATTTGAAAAAAAATTGGTCTAAAGAGTTTAGACAGTACTTCCCTCGCTGTCGGAAACTTGACGACTGCATGCCTATTGTGTTTTTTTCTCATTACATTTTTGTAGTGGGAATTTAAAAAAAAATTGCGATGACGTCATCAACATTTTTGCAAGGACAAGTATATCAGTTGGGATAGATGTAGTGTAATACTAAGAATAAAATTATTGTATTCCCAAATTTTCGGGAAAATGAATTGGGTCGTTTTGAATATTGATTTGTTATAATCAATTAAATAACGAAACAATTTACTCACGTATACGGCGCCCGTGTGTAATATGAGAGGCAACTGAAAATCGTTTATGTATTGGTTGATTATAAACATGTCTATTCCACATTCGCGGAACCTAGACAGCGCATAAAACAAATGCACGTCTGTAATGTTAAAGTCGATATAAATAAGCGTGCTACCCTTATGTTTCAACCGAGTTTTTACTTTAAAAAATTTTGTGTCTACCAAATTGGGTTGGTCCAATGTAATACTAATAATAAGTGTTGCCTTTAATTTAATCAATAAAATAAATTGACTTCATTAATTTTTTTGAGCCACCTCTTAAGAAAATCTAAAAAATTTGAATGGAATGACAAATCACAAGTACAAACTCATCATATTTTTTGCATTTTAGATAGGATTTATTCAGCAAAATTTAAGGGTGACGTCATTAATTTTTTTAGGAGGGATGAACAAATACATTTTGAACAAAAGTTTACCATGCTTATAATAACTTTAAAATATCTCCAAGATTTCAAAGCATTCGGTTTTGTAATTCCTGATTAAATCGATAAAATAAATTCACGCATTCATTAATTTTTTTGAGTCAGCCTGTATATGCAAATCCAAAAATATGAATGGAATGATAAATCACAAGAACAGACTCATCATATTTTGTACATTTTAGATAGGATTTATTCAGCAAAATTTTGGGGTGACGTCATCAATTTTTTAGGGGGGATGAGCAAATACATTTTGATAAAAAATTTACCATGCTTATAATAACTTTAAAACATCTCCAAGATTTCAAAGCATTCGGTTTTGCAAATCCTGATTAAACCAATAAAATAAATTGACGCATTCATTAATTTTTTTCAGTCACCCTGTATATACAAATCGAAAAAATATGAATGGAATGATAAATCACAAGTACAGACTCATCATATTTTTCACATTTTAGATAGGATTTATTTACCAAATTTTAGGGTGACGTCATCAATTTTTTTAGGGGGGGATGAGCAAATAAATTTTGATAAAAAAGTTATCATGCTTATGATAACTTTAAAATATCTCCAAGATTTCACAGCATTCGGTTCTATAATTCCTGATTAAATCAATAAAATTAATTGACGCATTCATTAATTTTTTTGAGTCACCCTGTATGTCCAAATCCAAAAAATATGAATGGAGTGATATATCACAAGTATAGACGCATCATATTTTGTACATTTTAGATAGGATTTATTCGGCAAACTTTTGAGCTGACGTCATCAAGTTTTTGGAGGGGATAACCAAATATATTTTGACTAAAGATTTATGATGCTCTTTAGAGCCTTAAAACATCTGCAACATTTGAAAACATTCGGGTTAGCAGATTAAAATTAAATTGCAAAATGTTGTTTTATAATTTTGATTTTTTTTCCAAAAATCTGGACGTTTCGGGTAAAAACTGAATTCGGAGTCGTAAACTACATGTGTAGGACTATGTTATTTTATACAATTTAAGACCCATTTACTATGTACAATTTTGAAGTGACGTCATCGCATTAGTGGTGGGGATGATTAGACAAATTTTGGTTAGCGTTTTACCATCTACATGATATTCCTAATATAACTACAAAATTTCACAACAATCTTAGAGATTATCTGTCTAATAAAAATCCGGGACGGCAGACAGACGGACAGACGGACAGACGGACAAACAGACGGAAATGGGAGACCTATTTCTTCGTATTCTAGGGGTCATGAAAGATCGAGAAAACGTAAAAGTAGAGAGTCGGCCGACGGACTCGATTACAATAATTCCTTTGCTTACGCTCGGGAAATAAAAATAAAAAATAGTTTGGTAATCCTCAAATCTACCTGATCGTTTGTAAGCTAAATGAGTTTCTTTTTTACGACATAAATTTTTCAATTCTCTATTGAATCATCTAGGAAAGGAAGATCTATAGGGTTTCTATAAATGATTTTACGGTCGAAGATGGTAATGAATACGTGCCGCCTCTCATTTTGGAGCTTACTAAATGCCCAAGGGCGCACAACAAATACCACACGCATCTATATAACTGGTTGCCTAAACGCTTTATATCTTTTTAAAAAATGAAACTCATTATAATAAAAAGAAACAAATTTTATTGCGGTTAAACATCAAAGTAAATGTTGAAAATGTTCACTCTCTTTTTAATTTCAAAAATGTTCTGTCATCCATTCGTCAGTGCCCATTGTTCAGTTTCATCTACCAGGAACTCCTGTCTGCTGAGGAAATTTTGTCAAAGATGTTTGCGGATTCTGCTTAATTGACCATTTTAAGTTTCTTTGTTGCCGAAATAACTCTACACATACTAAAAAAACAAAGCAAAATGTAGCCCCGCCCACCCACCCTATCTCAATTGTGATGATTTTTTGTTATTCGTTGTGAGCCAAGGGGACGGAGCTTAACTGCAAAATCCTTATTTCAATTAGATGAATTTTTCATTCGTTGTCAGATCGAGGGGTGGGGCTTAATTGCAAGATCCATATTTGTATACAAGAATTTACCATTTTAAACATGGTTCTTGTTCTGAAAAGACGACTACGCCTAATAAGGAAAAAGGCAAACTATAAGCCCCGCCCACCCGCCCTGTCTCGATTGTAATTATTTTTTCTTAATCGTCGAGAGACAAAGGAGCGAAATTTAAATGCAAAGTTCTTATTATTTCTCTACAAGAAATTACCATGTAAGACATTTTTTTGAATAACCTGTTAACAAAAAATTAAATCCAAAGATTAAGCCCCACCCATACCTGCCCTGATGTAAATAGTAATGAAGTTGTCATTCGTTGGCAGACCTAGGGGAGGCGCCTAATTGCAAAATCCATATTTCCTTACAAAAATTTACCATTTTAAACGTGTTTTAAGTTTCTAATAAAAAAAAAATCATCACAATTGAGAGGGGGTGGGTGGGCGGGGTTTATATTTTGGCTTTTTTCTTAATATACATAGTATTTTTTGACCAACACGATACTCAAAAACACCTTTGTAATTTCTTGCAAACAAAAAGTATTTTGCAGTTAAGCTCTGTTCCCTTGGTTCACAGCGAATAACAAAAAATCATCACAATTGACATAGGGCGGGTGGGCGGGCTTATATTTTGTCTTTTTGTTTTGCTATGTGTACACTTCTTTTCACAACATGAAATTTATAACATGTTTAAAATGGAAAATTTGTATAAGGAAATATCGTTTTTGCAATAGGCCCTATAATTGCGAAAATCTTATTTTCTTTGCAAAGACCATTTTAACCAGTTTTAAGTTTCTTGTTATGAAAAGATGGCTATGTAATTAAGAAAAAGAGGCAAAATATAAGCCCCATCCATCCGCCCTATCTAAATTCTGATGATTTTTTTCAATCGTCGTAAGCCGAGGGGCGGAGCTTAATTGTAAAATCCTTATCTTTCTACGAGAAATTACCATGTGAAATATGTTCTTAAGTAATCGTGTTATACAAAGAAAACTAAATGGATTAATTAAAAAAGAAAACCAAAACAGAAGCCCCACCCATTCGTCTCGATCTCAACCGTGATGAATTTTTCATTCGTTGTCAGACCGAGGGGCGGAGCGTAATTGCAAAATCGATATTTCCCTATCCTACAAATTTATCATTTTAAACATGTTCTAAGTTTGTTGTTATGAAAAGATGGCTGTGTATATTAAAAAAAAGGCAAAATATAAGCCCCACCCACTCGCCTTATCTCAATTCTGATACTTTTTTTTATTCGTCGTAAGCCAAGGGGAGGAGCTTAATTTCAAAGTCCTTACTTCTCAACAAGAAATAAAAACATGTTTTAGAGTATCGTGTTGGTCAAAGAATACTATGTATACTAAAAAAAAAAACAACCCAGAAATTAAGCCCCACCTATATCCATCCAAAGCTCAATTGTGATGAATTTTGCATTTGTTGTCAGACCTAGAGGCGGGGCCTAATTGCAAAATCGATACTTTCCTACAAAAATGTACAATTTTAAACATGTTTTACCTTTCTTGTTGTGAAAAGAAGACTACACCAAATTAACAAAAAAAAAAGGCAAAATGTAAGCCCTTGTAGTTATAATAGCTAATCTGTTTTTGAGACGAATGGTGTGGTGAATTAAAATTTCACGCTGAAAAAATTAACAACGGCGCGAAATCGCATTTGAATAATTTGAATTTGAAAAAAAATTCAATCAAGAAAATCGTTAAACATAGGCAACCATGTGCACGTTTCGTTCTTGCTGGTAGCTGGTAGTTCTGCTGGGGAATTTTAGTGGGAGGGTGGGTAGAAGTTGGCCGGCTTGGTAGATGACTCATTCTGTTCGGTGGCGTCACTTTTGGTGTGTTTGTTGTGAGTGTAACCAAGTTAAGTTTAGTTGGTTTGGTAGTTAATAAAAGGGAGAAATCTTTTGTTTAACGAAAATTGATCGTAACGACGACGGTGCCACAGTTTTCCTAACACGCGTAGCTAATTCGAAGCGAAAATAAGTGAATTTTCGACCGATGCTAACACGTGTAAATTTGTTTTATTGTTTGTAAATTCACAGTTCATGTCAGGAGTTTAATCGTTAACTGGTTCTAACACAATTTAACTTAGTTAAGACATCCTTTATTTATCTAATTATGAATAATGTTTCTTAATTCTTCACACAAGATTGCTAATAGTTCATTTACGGCAGTTAAATTATCTTAACGTTGCTCTGAGACATTTTGTTTCTCGCGACGCCGGATACCTTTTGTGTTGTTTATTTATCATGTGTTTCGTTTGGGATAAGCTGATGATAGTGCACGGTATAAACTCTCAAAACTAAAGATTTTAAGTAACCAGTCACTAGGATCAAGGCATCATTTAACATAATGTAAATTCTTTGTTTGACTCGTTGATAAAGTGTGGCATAATTTAACATAATGTTCATGTTTACAGTTCGTGTCAGGAGTTTAATCGTTAACTGGTACTAACATAATTTAACAGTCAGAAGTTTTAGATATGGCACTTGGTAGGCGATTTCATGAAATTCACCCACATTTTGATAATAAAAGTTAATTGCTTTTTTGATATAATCGGTTAGATCCGGGAAAAAGTGATGATATAGTGTTTTATTCGAAACGTCGTTTTATTTGAGACAACACAAGACTCTACAAACGCAAAAACGGCACAATTGCAACTTTTCACTCTCCTGTTTCTTCGTGCTTGTCGCCAAATCTGGTGTGTGAACATTTTCTAATTTCCGAACTCTGGAATGAAAATAAAGCAATATACATGGAAGGAAACCTCAAAAACACTTTTCCGATAATTTTTTTCTGTGACAAGTCTTTACCTGTGTTCTAGGGACGAAATGAAAATGCGGAATTCGAATCGTGTTGCTGCATTCATGCGCATTTTCCGTAACTGTGCTCGTCGATGGCATTTCATCGTTGGTGACCTAACAAAATAATTCATTAAGTGATCCATTAAAACAATGATCTTACAAAAAGTGGACGTTCGTTTTTGTGGGTCTGGGCGACTTGCTTCAGACTCCTTATAGTTTCTTGAATGTCGGTATGAAGCCTCTCGACTAAAAAAAAAAGGTGTGACCAAGAGTGTCCCTAATAGTTCGGATCTTTACTCTTAGCTTCAGTTTCTTGTTGCTTCAGAAACTGTTTATGCAGTTCTATTATATTTTCGTTAATGTCTGCATACTGAGGGATTAGTTCGGCTGTTGATGTTCCTGTTTCATAGTGTAGTGTGGCTTGTTCTTGCTCCTCAATCTCTTCCTCAGGGCAGCGTTCGTTTCCAGAAATGGCTGTCTTCAGTTCCGACTCCAAAACGCGTTTACTCTTGTTCAAAGTGTTTTGTATTTTGTCAACCATGTCGGATAGTTGCTCTAAACTGTCTTCAGGATTTTCGTCGAAAGTCTGAGGTGGGGTAATATAAGGCAACATGGGTTGCCACATGAAAGGCATCGCTGTGTAGGCTGTCGGTAGAAGAGTGGGTTGTGTGGAACCTACCATCCACGGCTGCAAAGTCAGCTTTTATTAAAGAAATCAACTACCAGAATTAATCACATTTTCAGACACAAGTGTAGGTGTTGGAGGTTGTACTCGTCGTTTAAGAAGATGGATATTCTCTTCGTATTGTTGTGTCAACTTCGATACTATAGTTTTCCATTTTCGTTTTTGTTTGGCCAGTTCGTTTTCCGGTGCTTCAGAAGCCCTTTCTTCGCACGGTCTAGACGTTTTTTGAGTGCGAATCGGTAGTTCACTTCGGACGCTTGACATATCCCTCTTCAAACAATTAATTTCCGCTTCAAGCTGAATCGTCACCAGTTTCAACCTCTCATTTTCAACCTGACACTGCTGGACTTTGTCCTCCAAGTGTTCCACCCGTTGTTTCTGAACACCCGCTTGCTTCGCCCTTTCCATCCAATTCAGCTCCGTGTCTCGATACTTTCCCAAAATAGTTTCCAGTTTTTTGGCTTGCGGTGGTCCCGCTCCAAAAGTTTTATTCTCCTCTTCTAAAAACAACAATTTGTGAAAAACATATATAACCTATGAAAAACAAAAATTTGATTTAACCCCAGTTTTCAAAAACGTCACTCAAACGTCTTTTATTTTTCACAGAACGCTTGATGGTGCAGTCGTACCAAGATAAACGGTGACGTCCATCATCAAGCCGCTTTTTTCGTTTTCGAGCTGGTCCACTTTCACTTTCAAGTATTCGTTGTTGTCCTGGTACTTCCACAGTGTCTCTTCCAGTTTGCGTATTCGTTTTTCGCTCGACTTATCTTGGTTTTCCAAGACGACTTTTTCCAAATTCGCGATCTGCGTCTGCAACCCCGAAATCTCTAGTTTCAGCTGCTCGTTTTCGGCGTTCCGCTTCTTCAGCTCGTTCTTCGCTTTGTACTCGCCTCCACCCAAAAGCTGCACTTGTTTCTGGAGTTCGTCGATCTCCATCTTCTGTTTGTCGTTTCTGCGAACCAGTTCGTGCCGTTCTTGCGTCAGCTCGTTCACTTGGTTTTTTAGTTTCTTGTTGTCTTCGTCGTACGACTGTATTTTTAGTGTCAGTCTGTTTATTTCGGTTTTCAAGTGTTTGTTTTCTTTTTCGATGGCGTCGTGCGACGCCATTTGCTTTCCTGGAAGGTCGAACGTCATGAGTAAACTCGAGGAAGTAAAACTTACTTAAATAGTCGACTTTTGTTTTGTTGATTTCGTTCTCGGTTCGCGTTTCTATTAGCTGTCCCTCGAGCTCGATGATTCGTCTGTCGGCTTTTTTGATGTGGATGACGGATTTTTCTTTTTCTGGAAAACCAACTCAGTGAGTGATAATTTTTTGGAATGATGCCAGTGTTACGTAGTTTTTCCAGCTGCATTTTCGTTCTTTTCGACTGAGCCAGCGCTTCTTTCAGTTGCGCCTCTAGTTCTTTAATTTTTGTCAGGTCGGTTTGAAGAGTCAAATTGTCTTGGTGGGGTTTTTCGAAGTCGTGTTGTGGAGCTTCTGCGTCTTCCGACTGTCCACCTTTTGTTTGTGAATTGTCGTCTTTTTGAACATCCTTTGGTTCTTCGTCGGGACCAAAGGATGTTGGAGGTGAATTGTCTCCATTTTTGTCGTTATCTTTCTCCGGGTCCAGGCTATGTGACGACTCATTTTCCCCCTTAAGTTTGCGTTTTAGACGCCTATTCATCTCCTGACACTTCTTCAACTGTTCTTCCAGCTCGTGTATCCGTTTCACTTTCTCTTCGAATTCTTCGTGGAGTTTGAGATACTCATCTTTAAGACTTTCGTTTTCTTTCTCATAGTCTGCTAATTGTTGCTCCGATCCTCCTTTCTTCTCACTGGAAACTCTCCTAAGAGCCAAAGGGCTTGAACTTTTTGTGAGCTCTTCCAACTGCTTCTCCAGGTCACTTTTTACCTTCTGATGGATGCTGTTCAGTTTGCGCAGTCGTTCCATTTCCTGCGTCATTTCTTCCTTTTCGTGTTGGTCTGCTTTCAACTGTTGTCGCAAAGAGTTTTCAACTAACGATTTGTCACTCCCTACAAGAAAAACAAGACACAAAATAGCGGGAAGTTTGAGTGAACAACGCACGTAATTGGTCCAAGTCGCGAGCCAACACTTCCTTGCTCTTTCTCAGTTCAGCAAGTTCGTCATTGAAAACGACGGATTTGTTTAAGTCGGCAGTACTTTCTACTTTAGGCTGTTTGTCACCTGAAAACTAGATGAAGCAGAATGGGCTTTGTTAATTTAAAGACTTACGCGACTTGGATATTTCTGTTTTAGACTTCTGGAGCAGCTGTATTCGATCTTCTAATTCGCGTATCTTGTCATCTTGTAAGTGACGATCGAGGGCAACTTTTTCCTGTTCTAGAACCGAAAACGCGCACTAATGCAAAAAAAGTACTTTGGTACTTACTTAGCAGTCGGTTGGTGTTTTGACAGTCCTTGAGGCGTTCCTGAAGGTCTTTTATTTTTTCTTCGTCTGCTTCACTTAGCCTTCTCACTGTTGAAAGTGTTAAAGTTGAAATTAAATATGTGTATGTGCAGTGGCGGCGTAGCGTGATTTGGCACCCAGGACGGTTTTCTATGACGTTATCAAAATTTACTTTCCTCTTTTTTTTCAATTGATAAAATGGAAAGATTATGCGTAGATTTTTGTTAGATTTGGAACTATTCCATGAACAACTTTTTTTGATGATGAAGTTGCTGTTCCCGCTGACGTTGCTTTTAGAGCTGAAAATTGTCATTTATAAACTCCGTTGCCAAGTTGCCCTTGATAGTAACTTTGATGTTCAACCTTTGCCGAATTTAAAGGGGTTGTAGAGGAAAAGTGGAGGATTTAAGTTAATTACTACAAAAATTTACCATTTTAGACATATTTTAAGTTTCTTGTTGTCGAAATAAGTCTACACATATTAAGAAAAAAGAAGACGAAATGTAGCCCCGCCCACCCGCCCTGTCTCAATTGTGATGATTTTTTTTATTCGTCGTAAGCCAAGAGGGCGGAGCTTAACTGCAAAATCCTTATCTCTCTACGAAAAATTAAAAACATGTTTTTGGGCATCGTGTTGTACAAAAATGTATGTATGTTAAGAAAAAAATAAGGCCAAAGATTAGGCTCCACCCATTCCCGCCCAGATTTCAATTCTCAATCGTGATGAATTTTTCATTCGTTGTCAGATTGAGGGGCGGGGTTTAATTGTAAGATCCGTATTTGTTTAAACGAATTTACCATTTTAAACATGTTTTAAGTTTCTTGTTCCGAAAAGACGACAACAGGCTCCGGTCCATAATTGCAAAATCCATATTTCCTTGAAAAACCGTTTTAACCATGTTTTAAGTTTCTTGTTATAAAAAGATGGCTATGTATATTAAAAAAAATAAGGTAAAATATAAGCCCCACCCACCCGAATATTTCTAAAATCTTGTCTCGGGACCATAAAACACGATACTTTTGGAATCAGTACGTTGAAATCTATATCCCAAAATTTTTGAGGATTTTTGGACAACTTTTTCAAAATCAAAATTTTTCAGAATGAAAATTTTGAAATTTTTCGACCACCTTTGAAACTCAAACAAAGACATTTTCTTGTACATTTCGCTCTTCAGAAGGTCCTTTCGGCCTCATTTTTTCGACAATTCCGAGCATTTTTCCAACACTGCCCATTGAAAAAAAAATGTACATATTTCGAACTTAATATTTCTAAAATCTTGCCACGGAATCATAAAAACACTAGATTTTTGGAATAAGCACGTCGAAATCTAATTCCCAGAATTTTTTAAACATTTTAGAGAACGTTTTCAAAACCAAAATTTTTCAGTGTAGAAATTTTAGGATTTTTCGGCCACCCTTGAAATTGACGAAAGAGATTTTTTTGTACATTTCACCCTCCAGAAGTTTCTTTCAGCCTCGCTTTTTCGATAACTCGATTTTATCAAAATCGCCCAGTGAAACAATTTTTTGAATTAAAGAAAAAAAAAATGTATTTCAAACCTAGTATTCCTAAAATCTTGCCCCGGAACCATAAAAAATCAATATTTTTGTAATCTGCACGTCGAAATGTACATCTTCGAATTTTTTGAAGATTTTTGGGATAATTTTTCAAAACCCAAATTTTACCCTTACGAAAGTTTCTGAATTTTCCGACCACTTAACCAAACACATTTGTACATTTTGACCACCAGAAGTTACTTTCGGTCTCATTTTTTCTATAACTCTTAACATTTTTCCAAAATCGCCAGTTTTTTGATTTAAAAAAAATGTATTTCAAGCCGAATATTTGTAAAATCTTGCCTCAGGATTATTAAAACGCTATATTTTTGGAATCACCACGTTGAAATGTGCATCCCAGAATTTTTTGATAATTTTTAGACGACTCTTTGAACATGTTTAGACTACTTTTTGAAAACCAAACTTTTACCCTTATGAAAATTTCTGAATTTTCCGACTACCTTCCACCAAAGATATTTTCTGGCACATTTCGACCTCTAGAGTTACTTTCGGTCTCACTTAGGTAGGTTATTTGGCAAGTATTAGCAAATTTCGACCCATTTTCGATAATTTTCTAAATTTAACTTAAATAGTTTTTCTTCTAGATTTCGGGCCGCAGAAGTCACTTCCGGGCTCATTTCTTCGATAACTTCAACCTTTTTTCCAGAATTGTTATGAAAAGATGGCTATGTATATTAAGAAAGAAAAAAGGTTCAAATATAAGCCCCGCCCACCCGCCCGATCTCAATTGTGATAATTTTTTCTAATCGTCGAGAGCCAAACAGGAGCGGAATTTAAATGCAAAATCCTTATTAATTCTCTACAAGAAATTACCATCTAACATTTTTTTTAGTATCGTGATATTCAAAGAATACTATGTATATTAAGAGAAAATTAAACCCAAATGTTAAGCCGCACTCATACCTGCCCTGATCTAAATACAGTATAACCTCGATAATTCGAATTAATTGGGGAAAGGTGTGTTCAGATTAACGATTTGTTCGGATCAGCGAATTTCCCAAAAAGCTGGAAGGGAATTGAATAACAACTTCGTACACTTATTTTCTTAGAGGATATGTCATTTGCCAAAATTAGTCTCATGTTGACAATTACTAGCCCCGCCCACCCACCCTTTATTTTCTTAGAAGAGTAGGTCATCTGCCAAAATCAGTCTTATCTTGACAAATACTAGCCCCGCCCACCCACCCTTATTTTCTTAGAGGATATGTCATTTGCAAAAATCAGTCTCATACTTACCAAGATAAGATTGATTCTGGCTAATGACCCACTCTACTAAAAGAAAATAAAAAATAGGTCATCTGCCAAAATCAGTGTTATGTTGGCAAGTATGAGACTGATTTTTGCAAATGACATGTCCTCTAACGTCTAAGAAAACAAGGGTGGGTGGGCGGGGTCAGTACTTGTCAAGATAAGACTGATTTTGGCAGATGACCCACTCTTCTAGGAAAGTAAAGGGGTGGGTGGGCGGGACAAGTACCTTTCCTGAGAAGGGTAGGTTTTATTAAAAAAATTGGTCCAAATTTATAAAATTTTCAGCAAAATGTTTTGAGCCGCTTTGAGAGACGTCATCCATTTTTTGGGAGGCGGTAAACGGATAAATTTTGATTAACGATTTACCACGCTTATGATAACCTTAAAACGTTGCAAAATTTTAGAGCATTCGGTTTTGCAGTTTCAAAATTAAATTGTAAAATTTTGTCATACAGTTTTGAAGTTTTTTTTTCAAAAATCTAGATGTTTCGAGAAAAAAATCAACACGGATTCCTAATTACACGTAAGAGTATGCTCTCTTATAACATTTAAAGAATAGAAAATAAAATAAAAGGCGAATGGGCCAGGCTACTATTTGCCAAAATAAGACTCATAGAAGTTACTTTCGGTCTCATTTTTTCTAGAACTCCTATCATTGTTCCAGAATCGCCGATTGAAATATGAGTTTTCGGATTAAAAAAAAATGCGTTTCAAACCGAATATTTCTAAAATCTTGCCTCGGGACCATAAAACATCATATTTTTGGAATCGGTATGTACATTGAAATCTATATCCCGGAATTTTTTGATGATTTTTAGACTTTTTCAAAATCAAAATTTTTCAGAATGAAAATGCCTAGCATTTTTCCAAAATTGCCTATTGAAATAAATTGTATTTCGAACCTAATATTACCAAAATCTTGCCCCGGGACCATAAAAACGCTAGATTTTTGAAATCATCACGTCGAAATCTACACGCCAGAATTTTTTGAGTATTTTGAAATAATTTTTTTGAAAAGCAAAATTTTTCAATATGAAAATTTTGGAATTTTTCGACCACATTCGAAACTTAACCAAAGACATTTTTTTTTGTACATTTTAATCTCCAAACATTAATTTAAGACTCAAGAAGTTACTTTCGGTCTCATTTTTTCTAAAACTCCATCATTGTTCCAGAATCGCCGATTGAAATATGAGTTTTCGGATTTAAAAGAAATTGCGTTTCAAACCGAATATTTCTAAAATCTTGTCTCGGGACCATAAAACACCATACTTTTGGAATGAGTACGTTGAAATCTATATCCCAGAATTTTTGAGGATTTTTGGACAACCTTTTCAAAATCAAAAAAAATTTTTCAGAATGAAAATTTTGAAATTTTTCGACCACCTTTGAAACTCAACCAAAGACATACGATTTGTTTTATTGTTTGTAAATTCACAGTTCATGTCAGGAGTTTAATCGTTAACTGGTTCTAACACAATTTAACTGAGTTAAGGCACATCCTTTATTTATCTAATTATGAATAATGTCTCTTAATTCTTCACACAAGATTGCTATTAAGTCATTTACGGTAGTTAAATTATCTTAACGTTGCTCCACTCTGAAATAAGACCGTGAAAGTACGGTAGAATTCATAATTTCGTGATCTGAGGTACGGGGGATTATAAGTTTTTCCCTTTAGACAGTTGTCATCGTTATCAGCATCACATCACCGAGACATTTTATTTCTCGCAATGTGGATAATTACATCACCGAGGAGCTTTCCTCGCAACGCCGGATACCTTTTGTGTTGTTTATTTATCATGTGTTTTATTTGGAATAAGTTGAGGATAGTGTACGATATAAACTCTCAAAACCAAAGGTTTTAAGTAATAGTAAAAGTGTGGCATAATTTAACATAACGGCAATTCAACGGCAACGTCAACGGATGATATAAACGACGCATACCTTCGCTGCGTATTTATCTTACAACTGCAACGTCAGCGACAAATTTATAAATCGACCTTAGGTTGAACAACACTAAATGTTACGACGGTCTAGTTCTTCGTAAAATCTACCAAGAAATTATTTTTACTTCCCAAGCGTAAGCGAAGTAAGTATTGTAATCAAGTCCGTCGACTGACTCTCTACTTTGACATTTTCTGGACCTTTCATGACCCCTAGAAAACGAAGAAATAGGTCTCCCGTTTCCATCTGTCTGTCTGCCCGTCTGTCTGCCGTCCCGATTTTGTGTGCTTGGTACTCCCATCGCGCCCCCTTTACGCCGCCACTGTGTAAGTGGTACGTACGAGATTCCGTGTCTCTGTATCTCGAGAGTTCTGCTTCCACTTCTTTGACGAGTTTTACGTTCCTGATTATGTCTTTTTCTTTGACTAAAATGATACAAATGAATGATTCGTTAATTCTTCAAGGGTAACCCGTACGTAACACTTCGAGTGCTACTCTCAGATTTTTGTTTTCTTGTTCGAGTTCGACCACCCTGCTCCTACACTTATCCAGTTGGTTCTCTAACCGTGAAATGTAGTTCGATTCTCGTCCGAGGAGAGCCTCAAGATCCCGCTTCAGTTCCATAACTTGAGGTTCATATTCTTTTTTCCATAGTTGCAGACGCTTCTCGATGTCGTCAATGTCAGACGTATCACTGACTTTGCTTGGAAGTATCGCAGTCTGTTTCATGTTCTGATATTCTTGTAAGAGTTTCTCTATTTCTGCTATAACCTTTTGTTCGCTGTGTGCTTCCAGGGAAATTTGTGCTTGACCTGAAACATCAAACGAATGGAAACAGGTTTTATTGATTTCATGATCTCACCCGCAACTTCTAGGTCATGTTTCAGCTTTTTATTTTCCCCTTCGAGATTTTCGATTTTCATCTTCAGTGCGTGGTTCTGCTTTTCCAGCTGTCGATCAGCACTGGTCTCATTTCTGCTCGCCTCTTCTTTGCCTGCAAGTGCGTTTTATTTGCTATATTTCAGTCAATCTCTCTTACTCAATCTGTCCAATTCTTTCTTCAAATATTCGTTGTCTAGTTCCAGTTCGACCGTGACCGTTTTCAGGTTTTCGTTAGTGTCAGTCAGCTTGTGAATTTCATCTTCTAGTTCACCGATGTGTTTTTCTTTGGCTCCAACATCGCTTCCTACCCGATCTCTACCTAAAACCGACTAGTATGCCCCAAAAACCTCGACTAAACACTCATACTTTCGAGTTCGCCCTTTAGAAACTCGTTTTCGATTTCGAGTTCTACAGTCTTCAGCCGAAACATGTGCTCGTCGTCTATTTCTCTGATGTCGGTTAGGCGTTCGGCGACTCGTCGATCAACGAGGTCCCCTTCCAGGGACGCAACTTCCCTGCCTAAAACGAATCACGCTTGACGACAACCCGGGACAAGATCAACCTACTTTTAAGTCCCTCGAGCTGCGTTTTTAAGTTCTTGTTTTCCATTTCGAGCTGCACGATTTTGTGCTTCAGCTGGTCGGCCCTCGGTTGTGCCAGAAACTGTAGCACACCAGGCGGTAACGCGTTTTCGAGATTGTCCTTGTGTTCTGATTCAACAAGTTTAGATTTCGGGGTGCTCCCACTCGCGATACTTACCACCAAGCTTTTTAATGATGACTCTCAACTCATCGTTTTCAGTCTGAAGAATATTATTCTGCTCCTGCAGTTCTTCGTCCGTGTCTTTGAGCTTTTCAATGTGCTTTTCCACTTCATTACCTGGATTGTAAACGCGGTGAGTAAAAAAATCTGTCAACGGGCGAATTTATTACTGATCACGGAGTCCAGTTGCTGCTTCAGGTTTTGGTTCTCCACTTGGAGTTTAACGAGCCGCCCTGTCAAACTTTCCTTCTTGTCTTGCGTTTTCATCAGGAGTTTGTTCGTTTCTCTTAACCTTTTGGTCTGTTCGCGACCTTGTAGTATCAGCTTTTCTTTCTCAATGAGGGTGCTTATGTACTCCTTTTTCAGGTTTCGGTTTTCGATTTCAATTTTCATTGATCGTTTTCTCAAATTTTGATACTTCTCTTGACACCTGGCTGTCTGTTTTTCGAGGTCTCTCAAGCGGTTCATTTCTTTTTCGAACGCTTTGTGCTCCTTACCTGGTGCCGTAATTGCCTTAGTTTTGAATTTACTTAAGTACATGTACACACCCATTATCCTTTCAAGGTCGTTTCTTAATCGCCCATTGTCAAGTTCGAGTTGGATAATGCGCGTTTGCAGTGATTCGTTTCTTCGTCCAAGGGCTCGCAAATGTTCGACTAAGTCTCGGATCTTTTTGTCTTCTATGCTTTCCGCACTCAGAGCTCGATCTTAACGAAACGTCAGATTCGACTCAAGGAATTGGGTAAGTACTTACCGTCGTACTGGGCTAGCTGATTGAACTGTTGATTCTCAGCTTCAAGTAGCGCGTTGTTCTTCTCCAAAACTGCATTTTTCGTTTGGTAGTCTTGTAATTTCGATTCTAGTTCGGCGACGTGTTCTGCGCATGCCTCAAGTCCTGGTGGCAGATCTGCAAGAAAACTCAGTTAACACTGAAGAATCGATCTAAAACCACGTGAAAATGTACCTTGGAACACCTGGATTTTGGCTTTCAATTTTCCGATGTCTTTATCATAACTTTCTTGCCACTCTTCCAGACGCTTCTCGAGCTCTTGTATCTTTTTTTGCGATATTTCCTCAGATTCAGGAGAAACTTTCTCACCTGGTGTACCTAATAAAGTGTCATCAAAACTCTAGACAAAAAAATTAAAAACCAACCAGATCTTATCGGTGTTTTTTCTTTAGCATTTTTTTTCAACCGCTCATTTTCTTCCTTTAGTTGTTTGACAGCCTCCTCCAGTTTCAGCATCTTTTCGTCGTCAATATTGTCCTGTGAAGCTAGGTTAAGCATCGACAATCTCTGAAAACCTGAAACATGTCGTAAGTAAAAGCGATAGTTTCTGGTGTATTAAATACGTATCCGGTCCAGTTCGGCTTGCAAATTGCTGTTCTTCCGTTCGCACTGTCGTAGTTTTGACTCTAATTCGTTAACTACTCCAGACTCGTCATCTGATTCTGGATCTTTTACCACGGATTTTGCTTTCAGGTGCATTACTGCTTCCGTTAATTGGTCTTGTTCGTTGTGCAGTACGAGGTTTTCAGCTTGAAGTTCGGAAACTCGTCTCTCCAGTTCTTGTAGGTGCGTTTCTTGTACGCTTTTTGTTATCGTCGCCACTTTCTCATCTAAAATAGGCGCTGATGACTGAAAGACGATTGTTAATTTACTCACTCTTGATTTCGTCTAGGGTCCGTTTTAACTCCTCTATCTTTTGCAGAGCTTCTTGTAATCTGGCATCGGGATCTTCGTCCACATTTGCTGCGATAGAATCTCTGTAAGTCGTGTTTTAAGAACGCTATTTTGAAATTTACCAGCAAGTGTCTTTATGCCATCTGTTACGGTTTCGATGAGATTATTGACGCTGCCTTGCCAGTGCACAAAGTTTCTATTAACACCTTCAATACTTTCCATATATACTTGACTAGGAGCTGCTCCTCTAGTTCGTTCTATAAAATCGTAAAATGCAGCGAAAAAAGTTTCAGCTAGATATGCTCACCTTTAAGATCTCTACTGACTGTCCTCAGTTTAGCATTTTCCTTTGATAATTGGGCAACTTTTCTACCCAGTGCGTCGCTTTTCTGTTCGCAGTTATTCCAGAACTCCTGTAATTCACTAACTCTTTTCTGTTCCATTTCGAGCGCTTCTTTCAATGGTTCCAATAGTTTGTTACCATTTTTAGTATTTTCACGTAGTAGAAACGACTGAGAAGTTTTAATCTGTTCTGCGGCATCGTTAAGCATGTTCTTCAGTTTTTCGTTCTCTGCTTTCAAGTTCTCTAATTCTTCGTTGTTTAGTTCCGGAGCCGGAGAATGGTTTATTTTGTACAGTAACTCCGCGATTTCATTTTTATGACCGTCAATTTCGTTTAGGAGTTTTATCCGTTCGTCTGGATCACTTTTGAATCCGTCTTCTTGACGCTGTATATCAGATGATGTCCCCGAATTGTCAGAACTTCGTCTCATTCTTTTTGCTTCGCTGATATCTTCGATCGGTTGTCTCGTTGTTAAGGGACGTTCTGCTATTTCTTTTTGGACTGTCTGGAAAACCGCAGGATCTTCCATCGACTCTTCGATTCTTTCCAGTTGCTGTTTCAGTACTTTTATCTTAGTCGGATCTGTTTCGTTCCTCAACGTTTCCTCTAGATTCTTTAGTATTTTACTAGCTTGCACTTGATCCGAATCCGAAGATTCCTTATCGCGCTTACGCTTTTGAGTAAATGGCGTACTGTCTGCTTTCTTCGGGTCTTCTGTCTTCTGGTCTGAGAAGACTCGGGACGAAGATTTCGGGTCTTCTTTCCCCGGCTCTAAGACTCGGGACAAAGATTTCGGGTCTTCTTTCTTCTGGTCCAAGATTCGGGACGAAGATTTCGGGTCTTCTTTCTTCGCATCTAAGAAAACTCGGGACGAAGATTTCGGGTCTTCTTTCTTCTGGTCCACGATTCGGGACGAAGATTTCGGGTCTTCTTTCCTTTGATCAAAGAAAACTCGGGAGGAAGATTTCGGGTCTTCTTTCTTCTGGTCCAAGATTCGGGACGAAGATTTCGGATCTTTTTTCTTCGCATCTAATAAATCTCGGGATGAAGATTTCGGGTCTACTTTCCTTTGATCGAAGAAAACTCGGGACGAAGATTTCGGGTCTTCTTTTTCTGAGTCTAAAATCTGGAAAGGAGATCTTGGCTCGTCTTTTTTTTTCAAGTCTTCTTTCTTCGGGCCTGAAAAGATCCGGGAAGAAAATTTCGGATCTTCTTTCAATGAGTCTTCTTCCCTTGAATCTACGTCCTTCGATTGTTCGTCCTTCGCGTCTTCTTTCTTCTCGTCTTTTTTCCTCTCGCCTTTTCTCTTCAGGTCTTCTTTCTTCGTTTTTCCTTCGACGCCATACAGACAATGATACTTAGTCTCTCCATCGCCTTTAGTTTCCTTTTCTAGAACCACCACAGTTTGTTTACATTTGGCAGATTTTAGACCCGCCTTCTCCTTAACAAGTTCCTCCAGTCTTTTATTGCGCTCTTCCAGTTGGGCGAGCTTCGATTTGGCGTGCTGTAAATCCTCGAAACGCAGTTTCTTCTGATCTTCGACTTCCCGTTTTTGCTTGTTCACTTCCTCATTTAAATCTGTCACTTGCTTCTTGAGCTTCGCCAGCTCTTCTGGATCGACGTAGCCGGGCAAAATCGCTTTCAAATAGTCCGCGGAATGCTTCGCTTCATTTCGTAACCGAACATTGTCTTGTTCGAGTTTCATCACGCGAGTTTTGAGTTTCCCGACTGGAGTGGTCTTTTTTAGATACTCCGTCTCGGCATTAAGCCCGCTTATCTCTTGTTTCAACGAACAAATTAGTTTCTTGAGGTTGGTCACCTCCGAGTCCCCAGCAGCCGTCATGTCCTGGAGAATCATCTCCGTGCTGGCCCGCAGTTTTTGCTCGTTGTCCAACTGCTCCTTCAAACCCACCAACTGGTTTCTAAGGTCATCGAACGTCTTGTCTTTCTCGTAGAGCACGTTTTTCAGATAGTTGTACATTTCTGCCAGATTCTGGCTTTTCTTTGAAAGGTCTTCGTTGGCGTTTTGAAGTTGGGTCACTTGGCAGTTGGCGGTTTCGTGGAGCTGCGCAGACAGTGTGCGCAGGGTGGAGTTCTTGTCCATGACTCCTTTCATCTGGTCTAGATTACCACGCAGTTTCTTGATAGTGACATTCGCAACCACCAATTTTACTTCTAGTTCTGAGATTTTAATCTGAGTGTCTCGCTGCGATTCTAACCTTTCGATGTCGAAGGCTTCGAGTTTCTGGGTTATGGATTTTATTGTTCGTCTCGCTTGTGCTAACATTTCAGAGAGACCGTCTTGGATTTTAGTCATTTGGGCAAGGGCACTTCGTAGTTTGATGTTTTCGGCTTTCTGTTGTTCGAGCGTACATAGAAGAACTTTGTTGTTTTCGTCTTTCAGACTCATCTCACACTCATAAACGCTGGCTTGTCTTTCGAGCTCGTCGATGTGGGCGTTCATGCACAGGTTCTCCAACGCAATTGTGTCTAGACGCTTTTTGTTGTCTGTAAGCTTTTGTTCGTTGTCGGCGATTTGGGTTTTCATTTCTTCAATGACCGTATTGAGCTCTTCCTGCGTTTACGTTGATCATACGACGAAATAAACAATGACTACTTACCTCTCGTCGAGTATGTTCGTTAGTTTTGTTTTCCATGTCGTACGTAAGGCTATTAATCGTCGCGTCTTGGTTGTTCATGTGACACACACACTCACGGATCTTGCTCACGAGACCCTTCCTCTCCCCTTCCAGTTCGTCGACTTTCTGTGCCTTCGTCATGAGGACTGAGAGTTCTCTGCACTGGGTCGCACACACGTCGTTTTGGTGCCTCAACACCTGATTTTTGTACATCAAATCTTCACACATCCGCAGGGTTTGCGACAAAGTTTCTTCTGTGTTTTGCCTCGATCGCTTCTCGTTTTGGATCAGTTCGACTAAAACTTTGTTGTTTTCTTGCTCTCGGGCTAATTTCGCTTCGTATGGGTTTAGGCCCGGAGGACGTTGAAAGTTTGTGTCTTCGTTTCTCGAGTTTTCGTCTTGAGTTTGAGCACCTGGACCCAAGAAATCGATATAGTAAGACAGTTTCTTCATTTCTTCCACTTGGTTTGATATGTAGTCTTCGCACCTTTTGATTTCCTTCAGTAAAGCTTCGTTTTCGCTTTCTAGATCTTCGATTCTTTCTTCTTGTTTTTTTAGTTTTCTTTGTAGTTCTTTGATTATGGCTTTGTGGGGGTCGTCATCGTTTCGACAGTCCATGTAGTTTGTCGTTACTGCATTAAATGCTTCCTTCATTTTGTTGTTATAGTTTGCCAGAATAGTCTTCTCGTCTTCATTCGTAGCAACCAGAATTTGAAATTCTCCTATATCTTCTTGCGAAGAATCACTCCGGAAATTTGACATGTCTGCACCAAATGATTAACTATTTAAATCCCTTGTCAAGGGTTGCTAGGTTACGGGTAAGAGGGTAAATGTGAAGTATTTGATAAGATAAAACTGATTTTCACACTTTTGACATTTTCGACTATTTTTCAACTACAGAGTCATCAAAATTGATTGAGAGAGTTGGTAAACCTGAACTTGAATAATTTGGTTTTTTAAGTTGTATAAAAATATTAGCTGTCAGATTTGAAGTTTCAAGTTTCAAATTTCAAAACTCAGTGGCGTCTTTTTTCGACTTATTTTTTGGTAAAAACATTAGTTGTCAAATTTGACGTTTCTAATTTTTGTCACGCCACTGAATTCATTGCCATATAACCTTAAACAAATCTGTCATAAGGTTGACAAACTTCACGACAAAAACAGGGGGTACCAACTCTCTCAATCAATTTTGATGACCCTGTACAGTAGCGGTCATTTCTACGGAACCACTCGATAAAAAGTCAAGTTGGTAGCCCTGTCATCTAGTACTTTACGCCGAACGCGGTTGGTAACGGTAGTTGACATGGCAATCGAAACTAGCACAACACGAATGTTTCGGTTGCCCTCAGCTGTGCCACACTGTATCCCGTGCAGACTGTATGTTCTGTTCATCTATTTATTAAAATAAAATATCTACATTGACAGTGGGGCCATCTAACCTGTCAAATTTTTGACACATATGTTTTCCCCCAGAAACCCGTCAAGGTCACTTACACCAAACAAATTTTGAAAATTTACACTAGGGAGTGGTTCTATAGAAAAGATCGCGACTTTATTTCCGAAAATTAGCGAGAAAAGTGAGAAACGTTTTTCGTAATTTCCAAAAATTTTTTGTTTGAAACAGTTAAAAGACGATCTGATTCAACGGAAAATAGTTGGCTTATAGATAATTTTTCGTAGCTTACGAATCTAAAATATGTTTGACAATTTGTTTTCAAATAATTGAGAACTGCGGGGGAAAATGTTCCAAGAATCCCCAAAATTTCTAAAAAATTTGAAACCGTTCCAAATGGCTTTATTTGAGAGGAAAACATTGAGTTTCTAGTTTTATAGAACATTAATCGTAGATTTATCTTATGAAATACTCCGCCCACCCACCCAGCTTCTATTTTCTTAAAGAATATGTCATTTGCCAGAAATTGTCTTATTTTAGCGAGTACTAGCTCCGCCCACCCTCTCTCTATTTTCTTAGGGTATATGTTATTTGCTTAAATCAGTTTTTTTGGTAGCAAATACTAGCCCCGCCCACCCGCCCTCTTTTTCTTTGTAGGACATGTCATTTACCAAAATCGGTCTTATCTTAGCAAGTATTATATTATACAGCGTGTTATTAAAAGGTACGTACAAAATAAAATCGGCAATTGGTCTCGAAGTATGGGTGCTAAAAGTAAAAAAAAAGTTCAGATAAAAGTGTTCTTCTTTTGGAGCTAAATATTATTGCAATTTGTGTTCAAATTCGTTGTACGCCTCTGATAAAAAGGTCATCTTCCGTTTCTATAGCAACATTTAGTCTTGACAAAAGTTTTATTGTTACAGTTGCTAGGATTTACTAAAATAAATTAATTTTACCTATTTATCTTTCGGTAACGTCTAAAAAGGTTGGATAAGAGTTAATTTTCTCCTTATAATTTTGATAACACAACACAAGTTTTTCAAACTTCTTCGACTTCGCGAAGAACTGTCAATTTTGTTGTGCGTACCTTTCAATAACACCCTGTATATTGAAATGGCAAAATAAATTATTAAATAATCATTAAATAGTACTTGCTAAGATAAGACTGAATTTGGCAAATCACATACCTTCCAAGAAAATCGAGGGTGGGTGGGCGGGCCTAGAATTTAATAAGATGAAACTGATTTTCGCACTTTTGACATTTTCAATGTTTGATGTGATTATTTCTTAAAAAATGAACAAATGTGTGCTACAAACATTACTTGAGTATACGCATGGTAGTTGGTAGACGGTAGAAGATAAAATGATTAACTCAGCGACAAGTATAAACGGTTTTCTTTGTGTTGAAGATTTAGATCAAGTTTGATTAGAAATCAAAACAAAATCATGTTGCGTCAAAAAATTGAACGTTTATTTTTCAGTTTATTGTCTTATGGTTTCTACTAGTGAAAAAAATAGTATATTAACCACGGTTGCAAAGCCACTTCTAGACCTCGCACTTAGAGCCCTCGACGCTGCGCGTCTCGGGTTCTAATTTGCGCTCGGTCTAGAATGCTTGGCTCTGCAACCTTGGCTAATAATATACTATTTGACAATTTGTCTTCAAATAATTGGGAACTGCGGGGGAAAATGTTCCAAAACTCCCGAAAATTTCCAAAAAATTTGAAACCGTTCCAAATGGCTTTATTTGAGAGGAAAACATTGAGTTTATTGTTTTATAGAGTATTAATCGCAAATTTATCTTATGAAATACTAGTCCGCCCATCCACCCTCTATTTTCTTAAAGAGTATGTCATTTGCCAGAAATTGTCTTATTTTAGCGAGTACTAGCCCCGCCCACTCTCTCTATTTTCTTAGGAGTATGTTATTTGCTAAAATCAGTTTTTTTTAGTAGCATATACTAGCCCCGCCCACCCGCCCTCTCTTTCTTTGTAGGATGTCATTTGCCAAAATTAGTCTTACCTTAGCAAGTACTAGCCCCGCCCACCCGCCCTGTATTTTTCCTAGGAAGTATGTCATTTCCCAAAATCAGTATTATCATAGCAAGTACTATATTGTATATTGAAATGGCAAAATAAATTATTAAACAATAATTAACTAATACTTGCTAAGATAATACTGATTTTGGCAAATCATATACCTTTAAAAAAAATATAGGGCGGGTGGGCGGGGCTAGTACTTGCTAAGATAAGACTGATTTTGGCAAATCACATACCTTCCAAGAAAATAGAGCGTGGGTGGGCGGGCCTAGTATTTGATAAGATAAAACTGATTTTTGCACTTTTTACATTTTCGACTATTTTTCCATATTTCCGAAAATTTTTTGTTTGAAACAGTTAACAGATCTGACCCAACGAAAAATAATTGGCTTATAGACAATTTTTCGCAGATTACGAATCTAACATATTTTTGACAATTTGTCTTTGAATAACAGAGAATTGCGGGGAAAATGTTCCAAAAATTCCCAAAATTTCCAAAAAATTTGAAACCGGCCCAAATGGCTTTATTTGAGAGGAAAATATTGAGTTTCTAGTTTTATAGAGTATTAATAGCAATTTTTATTTTATTTTATGAAATAGTATGTCATTTGCCAAAAATTGTATTATTTCAGCAAGTACTAGCCCCGCCCACCTTCTCTCTATTTTCTTAGGGGTATGTTATGTGTTAAGGTCAGTTTTTTTCTTAGCATACAGTAACCCCGCCCACCCGCCCACTCTTTCCTTGTAGGATATGTCATTTGCCAAAATCACACTGGATAAAATAATTCAGTTTGAGTTGTTCGTTGATTTCTGAGAATAATTTCTAATTTCACTTTGATGTTTGGATTTTGCATGGTTAATCCAAAGACGCGATCGCCGAGCTTCGACAGTGCGACGGAACATCTCGCGATAAATCGGATCGGGCGCGACTTTCAAAATACGAGTTTTAAAACCTTTTTACAGTAAATGATTTGAAAAAAATACTGGCCGATAGCCCTCTTCGACCTCCACGAAGGCATCACTCCATAATAGCTTTAAAGTGATCTGGGGAGATATTATAAAATAAAAACCAATTTGCCATGTTAATTCCCCATGCCCATAAAATCAGCTTTACGGAAATTCCATTGTTTATCACTGGATTTGTTCCTATTAATAACACGTATTCGAGATGTATTGTACTCCCAGTTGAAAGTGGTTTTTATATAATAAAAACAAACTCACAAATTATATATTTTTATTCAACACTTCAAACATGTAATTTCATTCAAACAAATAAAACAAGCTACCAAAACAATAAAATAACTATCATTTGAAGTGTTACAAATTTTAAAAATAATGCTTTAAGGTAAGTGTCCACTTGCGAGAAATCGCCTCAAAATCAGCCCTGGAGAGCTCCGAGTCCAGTCGAGTAAAGACGAAACACTGATCGGCTGATCTCGCCGCGAACTATATTCTCTCCAGTGGACAAGCCAAACTGCGTTTACTTGCGAGAGATACTGTCCGTGTGAACAAGCTTCGAATTGGGGAAGTATTCCCCGAGAGTAAGCAGTTCATCATAAATTATTTCTCGAGTAAAGCCGACTTATTTTACACGTTTATGATTCTATGCAAACAGTCGTGAAAAGGACTACGCAATTCGGCCAAATCTGATCGTTTACCTGACTTCAACATTTATACAGCGTTTTGAGATAGGTAACACATTTTTATGAAATTATTAAATACTAAAAAAAATGTAAAACGAAAATAAATGACTAAATTATGTTCATTTGTCGCAAATCTGAAGCAAGTAATGTGAAAAGTAGACTAGATTAACTTTTTTAATTTATAATTAAACATCATAGTTTGTATAAGTGATTCTGATTATACTTCATTATTATTATTATTATTTTGTTGTAGTACGAGATTAAACTATGCACAACGAAGTAAATTCATTTTTTATTATTCAAATAACGTTTTTAAATGAATTTTTAATAATAATTTACATATTAGGTACTACAAATGTATTGTTAAGTAGCATGAGTATTCAAAAATTAATATTTATTTTTATTTTCGGTGTTTATCCACAAGTGCTTTTATAAATTGATACCTGCCTCACCTGAAAATATAATTATTAGGGACAATAATTTTATAGATGTTTTTACACACTACAACATTGCATGTAATTGTCCTTTGATGAATCATAACCTGCCGGGATGATAATCTTCAGGTGCGGGTCGTATTAAGCGCTCTTACAAATCTAACCCGGGAGACAATTTACCTATACCCTTTTTGCTACCTGTTTTCCCAGCATTTACATTTCAGTTGAATTTCGTGAAAGAGGATTAACAAAAAGCTCATAAAATCATAAATTATTTGTCGGTCCAGCACAAATCGCTCCTTTCTCTCGCTAGTGTACCCGAGCAGTGGACAGGGTAGCAAATTTGCTAGAACTTGGGCTCTAGTTGGAAACCAAAGCTGTGCCTCTCTGGAGGTACTTTCACAATACGAACACGTTTCGAATTCCTACAGTTCTGTCCGCGAGTGGTGAGCTTTGCCATGGCCAAATTTGGATGGTCAAAAGACCAAACTGCAGAACTAATTGCACGATATGGAAAAAAAGGACTATAGAAACCGCGTAGCATACACTAAAATTATTTTCAACTATACAGAGTGTTCTGTTTTTGAGGCGTAATATTCAACGTACTTTTTTAAATAGAATGCCTAATTCTAATTTTCTAAAGAATTTTTGTAATGAAGCGGTTCACAAAAAAATCGCAATCGTATTAATTTTAAGATCTGTGTTATAATATTTTATGGGGAGGTAAACAAAAGTACGTGCTTTGCTATGGTATCAATTAAATTCATTTCTAATATGCTGAGTCTTTATAAAAACAAAACAAAAATATTAACAATTTTCAAACATCGTTATTTCCGTCAGCCCATTCTCTACTTTTACGTTTTCTCGACCTTTCATGACCCCTAGAGTACGAAAAAATAAGTCTCTAGTTTCCGTCTGTCTGTCTGTCCGTCTGTCTGCCGTCCCGATTTTTATTATACAGATAATCTCCAAAAGTACTGGGTCGATTCCAGATTTTTGGAAAAGAAAACATAAAACAACATTTTACAATTTAATTTTGATTCTTACAGCTGTTTTAAAGTTATGATAAGCATAATAAACTTTTAATCAAAATATATTTGCTTATCCCCTCCAAAAAATTGATAACGTCAGTTCAAAATTTTGCCGAATAATTTCCACCCGAAATGTGCAAAATATATATGATCAGTATAATACTTGTAATTTATTATTGTGTTCATATTTTTTCGATTTGCTTATACAGGGCGACTCAAAAAAAATGAATGCGTGATTTTAGTTTCCTGAATAACACAAGAATTGCAAAACTGAATAGGTACTTTGAAATCTTCCAGACGTTTTAAGGTTATTGTAAGCGTGGTAACTTGTTAATCAAAACATATATGTTTATTCCCAACAAAAACTTGATGACGTCATCTCAAAATTTTTCAGAATAAATTCTATCCAAAGTGTGCAAAATATGTTGAGTTTTTAATTGTGATTTATCACTGCATTCATATTCATCTACTGTTATTTTTAGTATTATACTGCACCAATCCAAGTTGATATACGTGACCTTGCAAAAATGTTGATGACGTCATCACAAAATTGTGTAAAGAAAAAACTCAACTCGAAAATGTTAGATATGTTTCATAGTTCTTTCGGTGCGAGGGAAGTTCTGTCGAAACAACTTTCGACCAATTTTTTACATTTTTAAGAGATATGTGGAAAGAAGATTTTACGTAATATTAAATAAGAGTAATAATTGCAATGTTGATTTAATCAAAATCAACTCTACATTAAAATTGTATGACATTATAATAGAGGGTGGGATCATATGAATGTGACAACCTGTGACACAGAAAAGAAAGGTCCAAAAACCCCAAAATGTACGTGACATAACCTATGGAGAACACCTTATTTTGTTCAATGATTTACATCATACTTTTACATATGTACCTGATACAAAAAAATCGTAATGTTACTATTACTCTTTCATGAATAGAAATAGCATCGTGCATTTGCGTATTTCTTAGCACAATTTTAGGTCCACATAATAATTTATGTTCTCTTACTACCTGTTTTCACAGCTGCAATATTTTACCGTATTTCGTGAAAAATAAATTAACAAAAGGCTCGTAAAATCATAAATTCTTTGTCGGTTCGAGTAAAGAGGGTCCATTTTCCTCGCAATTGCAACTGTGTAGTGGACAGGGTTTTGAGAGCTTTGTCTGATCGACATCTATCGGCGAGAAAAATTTGCCAAAATATCCTCTCAAATCGACAAGCCCTTGAAAGTAACTCGCGAATTCTCGCCAAGTCACTCTCCAGTGGACACGTACCTTTAGAGTTAGCATCTGAACCTGTGACTATAGAAACTGCTCATTTAGAATATTATCATTAAAAAAATATCCACACTTTATTTTCAAGTATGAAAAAAGTATTTTACGAGTAATAAGTTTTTTTTTAAACTTTGGGATGCCATGCAATTAACAAAATGAAAAAAAAAGAAATGTGTAAGATTTAGATTTTTGCATCACAATAAAAAAAAAAGTTTGCATTCAATCTGCATACCTAACTAAACGAATTGTAGTCAAATCAAAACATCAAAATTTCATAATACTGCTCAAGTTATTAAAATCTAGTTAAAAATAGCAAGTACTGCTCTCTTGAAACTGAGTGACGTGTGCATCCTACGTGTTCCTACCCTAAATATATTAAATAGTTTGCCACTTATTCACTTATAAATAACAAGATGCAAAATAAAACCGACCAGCGGCCTCTCTTATATAGATCTGTACAATGAGCCTTCTATTTCTACATTTTGAGTTTCACCATATTCAAAACAAAAAACCTGTGTGTCCTTAAAAGGTTAGAATAAAGCGACTATTTTTCTCTTCAAAGGACTTTTATTGTACAGTACATCACAATACAATTTTCCATAATATGAATAAAAACAACACAATCAAATCACTCATCTATCTCAAAAGAGTCGGAGCTTTTGTCTCCCATTTCAAGATTGCACACTCCCTTTCTCATAGCACAACTATGTTTGAACTTGTTACTGTTGTCTTTCTGTAAGAAAAGTAACAGGAGTAGAATATAGACGTGGGTATTTTGGGCCTACCACTACGGTTAGCTCTGTGTGGAAGTGAGGTATAGTGGTCGGCCTAGCCATAACTTCCATTCTGCGCGTACAGCAACCCATGCGGTAGGGACACCCTAACATATTTCGCAGCGTCATACTAAAAACTAGACCATAAAGTTAAAATCACCAAAGTAATGTCTTACTTCAGCTGCTGCAGTTTGAGCTTTTCTGCTTGGTTTTCCCGTTTCACGAGGTCCATCTCGATCTTCATGTTGGCAACAGTCTTGGACTGATTCGTGTACCTGTTGATGAGGTCGCCGTTCCTCTGCCTTTCCAACTCCAGCTCCCGCTTGAACTTATCCACGGTGTCTTGCAGCAAAGTAACTAAACACGACTGACTTAATATATACAACGTGACCAACGAACAACTGACTTTTCTGCTTTGTGTGTTCCTGTTTCACCAAAAGCCGGTTTTCTAATTCCACGATTTTCTTAATCGATGAAACTTTTTCTTCTTTGCCTGCAGGCAAAGTACTCTCGTACTTTATTATAGATCGGGTTGCAACCGGTTTGGGCGATGGTGTAGACGGCGCCATCGTGGGTATGAAAAACTGCAATAACCAATTTGGTAAACTTTGTAGACGATAGACCGTAGAAGTGTGGCAATTTTTGCTTTTCAAACACACAAATGACGAACCTGTGAAGGTATAACATATTCGGAGGTAAAACCCCGTGGTGCCTTGTATGGTCTCGGTTGTTGCTGCCGACGGTCTTTTTCTGGGGTCATGGTGGCTGTCGACAGTGGTATTACCATGGGTAGTTTTCCGCAAATGCACGTGTCTTCGAACGTTTTGGTCGATAAAGTCTTCATCTTGTCCTAAAACGTTATTCTTACAGAATTGATTTAAAAATGAAGTACTTAATATAAAACCTCTTTTATCGACGGTTCTCTAGAAATCTTGCCCTTATCCGTTAGCTTGCTCAAACTCGATTCCTTGTCCCGCAGTTCGTCTTTAAGTACTTTAGCAGCACCGTCGTGCTCTCGGGCCAAATTATCCAGAGCGTCTTTGTGTGCCGCTTGTAGTTTATTTATTGCAGCTTCATTCTGTTGCTGTAGATTTTTGATATCTCTATCATATTGCTCCTTCAACGAAGCAATCATGTCGTTGCACTGTTGCTTCTGTTTAGCCAACTGGTCTTCCAAATCTTTAACTTTTTGGTCAACGCCACCAATGGGTTGCTTAACTAAAATTCATGAATCAAGTAAATTAAGTCACTGTTTGTTATTTACCTGCGGAAGCAGCTTTCACAGGTTGCTTTTCAACCGGTCCTGGTTTCTTTGCAACTTCACCAGCGGCTGGTTGCTTTGCAACCGGTTCTGGTTTCTTTGCAACTTCACCAGCGGCCATCTTTTGACCCGCTTCTAATTCAGCGATTCTCTTCTTCAGACTTTCGTTGGTATCCCGACATTCCTTCAAAGAGTCTTCTAACTGGCGCGCTCTCGCATCCTCCCTCTCTAGACTATCCTGCAGATCCTTCACTACTTTTTCAATTTCGGGCGATCCCTTCGGAATATCTATCTTAATTCTCTCTAAGTTTTTAAGTTGTTTCTCTAAGCTGTCAACAGTGGATTTCAGTCTCTCGTTTTCTTTGTTTTTCGCGTCTAACTCTCCCAGTTTCTTTTCCAGATCTGCATTAGCCGCTTTCAATCTTTGGATTTCCGCGTTTTGATCCCCAGGCGTCGTCGGTCTCGCCGCATCTGCCAATTTCTTCTCCAGATTGGCATTAGCCGCTTTCAACCGTTCGATTTCCTGGTTTTGATCCCCAGGCGTCGTCGGTCTGGCCGCATCTGCCAATTTTTTCTCCAAATCTGCATTAGCAGCTTTCAACCGTTCGATTTCCTGGTTTTGATCCCCAGGCGTCGTCGGTCTCGCCGCATCTGCCAATTTCTTCTCCAGATTGGCATTAGCCGCTTTCAACCGTTCGATTTCCTGGTTTTGATCCCCAGGCGTCGTCGGTCTGGCCGCATCTGCCAATTTTTTCTCCAGATCTGCATTAGCCGCTTTCAACCGTTCGATTTCCTGGTTTTGATCCCCAGGCTTCGTCGGTGTCGCCGCATCTGCCAATTTCTTCTCCAGATCGGCGTTAGCAGCTTTCAATCTCTCGATTTCCTTGTTCGCGTTTTCTAGATCCTTTGAAGTCTTCGCGCCAGCATCTCCCGCCTGCTTCTGCAAATCGGCATTAGCGGCTTTCAGTCTCTCGATTTCCTTGTTCGCGTTTTCTAGATCTTTAGATGTCTTCGCGCCAGAATCTCCCGCCTGCTTCTGCAGATCGGCGTTAGCAGCTTTCAATCTCTCGATTTCCTTGTTCGCGTTTTCTAGATCCTTAGATGTCTTCGCGCCAGAATCTCCCGCTTGCTTCTGCAAATCGGCATTAGCGGCTTTCAGTCTCTCGATTTCCTTGTTCGCGTTTTCTAGATCCTTTGATGTCTTCGCGCCAGAATCTCCCGCCTGCTTCTGCAGATCAACATTAGCGGCTTTCAGTCTCTCGATTTCTTTCTTCGCGTTTTCTAGATCCGCCAACTTCTTCTCTAGCTCCGCGTTAGCGGCTCGCAGTTTTTCCATTTCTTTGTCTGCGTCTTTGGCACCCGCGACTTTCTGCTCGCCCGAATCTTTCAGTTTCTTCTCCAAATCTGCCTGAGCCGCTTTCAGATTTTCGAGTTCTTTCTTTGCGGCCTCTGAATCTGCCAGTTTCTTCGCCAAATCTGCGTTAGCGGCTTTCAGTCGTTCGATTTCTTTGTTCGAGGCTTCTGCATCCCCTTTGGACGCCAAGTCTTTCAACCTCTTTTCCAAGTCCGCGTTAGCCGCTTTCAGGCTGTCGTTCTCTTTGTTCGCGTTTTCTAAATCTTTAAGTTTCTTCTCCAAGTCTTCTTTGGCCGTTTTCATCTTATCGAGTTCCTTGTTCACGTCTTGGGCGTCCGTAGATCCTTTGGATTGCAAGTCTTTCAATCTCTTTTCTAAATCTGCGTTGGCCGCTTTCAGACTGTCATTTTCTTTGTTCGCGTTTTCTAACTCTTTCAGTTTTTTTTCAAGATCTGCGTTACTCGCTTTCAGATTGTCGTTTTCTTTGTTCGCGTTTTCTAAATCTTTAAGTTTCTTCTCCAAATCTTCTTTGGCCGTTTTCATTTTCTCGAGTTCTTTGTTCACGTCTTGGGTGTCCGTAGATCCTTGGGATTGTAAGTCTTTCAGTCTCTTTTCTAAATCTGCGTTGGCGGCTTTCAGACTGTCATTTTCTTTGTTCGCGTTTTCTAACTCTTTCAGTTTTTTTTCAAGATCTGCGTTACTCGCTTTCAGGTTCTCGTTTTCTTTGTTCACGTTCTCGCAATCTTTAAGTTTCTTCTCTAGATCGTCAACGGTGGATCTAAGTTTATCCATTTCTTGACTTTTCTTTGCCAATTCTTCGACTAGTGAGGTGTCTTCTGTTTTCGCAGGCTCCTTCATTTTGTTGATTAAGTCGAAGATTTCTTTCTTTTGTGCTTCGATTTGGCGCAGCAGATCCTCTTTTTCTCTGGCGAACTCTTCCTCTTTTTTGTCGTCTTTAACAGCGACACCTTTAGCAGCTAGTTCTTGTTTCAGTTTTTTTATCTCGTCTTCGAGAGCTTCTTTATCCGCTGCAGCTTCTTTCAGTTTTCTTATCTCGTCTTGGAGAGCTTCTTTATCTGCTGCAGATTCTTTCAGTTTTTTTATCTCGTCTTGGAGAGCTTCTTTATCTGCTGCAGCTTCTTTCAGTCTTTTTATCTCGTCTTGGAGAGCTCCTTTATCTCCTGCAGCTTCTTTCAGTCTTTTTATCTCGTCTTGGAGAGCTCCTTTATCTCCTGCAGCTTCTTTCAGTCTTTTTATCTCGTCCTGGAGAGCTTCTGTATCTGCTGCACCTTCTTTCACTGTAGTTATTTCTTCCCGGGGCTTCTCGCTTACGACTTCTGTGGCCCCTCTATCGGCTGCGCTTTGCTTCAGCCTTTCAATCTCATCCCTGAGTTTTTTATTTTCGTTGTCAAGATCGCTTTGATCGGTTGGACCCTTTGTCAGGTTGTTCAGCTGATTTTTAAGATTTTCATTTTCGTCTTGGAGCGCTTGTTTCGCAGCTGCCAGTTCTTTCATTTTGTCCATTGTGTCGCGGTAGTTTTTGTTTTCCTCACCCAGTCTGTCAAGGTCTTGTTTGAGTTTATTCAGTTGGTCTTTCAGGTCCTTGTTTTCTAGTTCTAAGTCGTTCTGAGTAAGCAGATCGTCTTTGAGTTTCCCCAATTCGGAGTCACTCTTCTCCTTCATGCCTTTCGCTTTAGCGAGTTGCTCTTTCAAAAGTGCGTTTTCTCTGTTGATTCTTTCCATTTCACCGTCCGGTGCCGCCATTTCTGCTTTGAGTTTATTCAACTCGTCTGTTTTCGCAGCTAATTCGGCTTTAAGTTTACTCATCTCTGCTTCACATTCGTCACGTTGGTCTCTCATTTTAGCTAGTTCGTTGCGCAATAACTGACTCTCCATTTTAAACTTCTCTGCGTCAGTCATTGTATCATCTTTCGAGTCCTGCAGCGATTTAATTTTTTCGTCAGTTTCGTTCAATTCCTTTATCTTTAATTTCAGTCGCTTCACAGTTTCTTCGCACTCCCTTTTTTGATTTTCTAAATCGAAGTTAAGTCGACTGTTTTCGGCATGTAGTACGTCTAACTGCCCTCTCAGTTTACTCATTTCGGAAGCATCTAGCTCACTAGAAGCAGATAAGCGTTCTACGGCATCTTGCAGAACTTCGTGCTTCACACCTTCTCTGTCCAACTGTTCTTTCAGGCGTTTTATTTCGTTACGTTGCGCTTGGATTGTGCCGTCTTTCTCTTCAAGCATTTTTTGCATCTGACTTACACGGTCTCTAAGTTCGCCGCACTTATCTTCAGCTTCGTGACTTTTTTTGGATAGAGTTTCGTTGGTGTCTTCCAGTTTGGTGACTTGAGTTTTGGCGGTTTCTTGAAGTTGCGTGATGATTTGTCGCAGATTGTCGTTCTCGTCCATCACTCCTTTAAGTTGATCTAGAGTGTCACGCATACATTTATTGTTCGCATTGCACTTCGTCAGTTCTTCTTCTAACTCTGCTATCCTTTCGTCACCACGAGGTCTTTGTCCCTCTGCCATTCCTTCTTCCAGTTCTTTAATTTTCTTGAGATAATTCTCTCTTTCTGCCTCCAGTCGGCCCACGCCGATCAGGTCGTGGTTTTCGAGCTTCTGCGTGATGCATTTAATCGCACACTTGGCCTGCTTGAGCATCTGCTTCAAGTGTTCGTCGCTTTTGATGGCCTTCCGGAGCGCTTCTTCTAGCTTGGAATTGGTGCTTTTCTCCGAGTCGACCTTATCAAGTAAAGCCTTGTTGTTTTCCTGAAGGGAGGTTATAGTGTTTTCCATATTTTTCCGTTCGTTTTCTATACTGACTAAATTAGTGTTATTTGAATTATACTTTGTTTCAAGCGATTTATAGGCGTCGTCTTTCGTTTTTAAAATCTTCTGATATTCGCTGATTTCCGTCTCGAGTTCTTCGATGTGCGTGCGCAAACACGTTGTACCGCACGAAAGATTCTCGATGGAATTCCGCAACTGGTCTTGAACATCCGCCAGCTGTTGTTCCGATTTCTCTATAAGAGTATCTTTTTTCTCTAAATCAGCCCGCATCGTCAACACTTTGTATTTCATGTCTTCCTGCAATGAGATTAGTTCGACATAAAATGAGGAATACTTACCCGTTCAGTAACCAAGTAACTACAGAAAAATTGCCACACTTTAGAAAAAACTCAAGTTTTACCTGTCGCTTATCCAGCTCCTGTGTCAAACAGTCAATATGGCAAGCCAGTCTCTTGATTTCGTCGTCCTGGGTGTTCATGCAGCACTCACAGTCCTCGATCTCCTTCATCAGAAGCTGCCTTTCTTTTTCCAGCTCCTCGCACCTCTGCACTTTAGCTCTCAGTTCGTTGCATTCGCTCTCCAGATTCTTCAGCTCCTCGTACTTGGACTTGTACATCGCGCATTCGGCTTTAAGAGCGTCAAAACCTTGCGTTTTCTTCAGTAGCTCCTCGTAATCGTCTTGGATTTTACGCAAATCTTCGCATCGCATCTTCAGACAATTCCGTTCGACTTTCATGATGTCCATTTCTTTCATTTTGCACCTGCAGTCCTCGGCTTCTGCTTCCAATTGGGCGATTTTGGCCAGCAGTTTGTCTTTTTCGGCACTGTCTCCGGCGGGTTCGACGCATTTCTTACACTTCTCGCGAAGCTTTTTGACTTCGTCTTCCAGACCCTTGAGACGATCGAGTCGTTTTCTGAGGTCGCTTTCGTCGGTTTTGAGACCTTCAAGGGCTTGAGTCTTGTCTTTGAATGCGTCAACTTGTGAAGGTAGGTTGCTGTATTTAGAGAGTTCTTTTTCTAGTTCTTGGACTCGAGCCCTTAAACGATCTCTGTCTTTGGTGATTTCGTCTAGCTTGTTCATTCTGTCTTTCATGTTATCCTTAGCAGTTAGACCGTCTTTCAACATGTCCCGTTCTTTCTTTAGTTCGGCGTTTTCTTTTTGAATGGCAGCAAGTTGGGAGCAGTATTTCTTCAAAACTGCGATTTCTCGCTGTATGATTTCTGTATCAGGGGACGATCTTGATTTCATAGATTCTATTTCGCGTTCGAGAGATTTGATTTCGTCTTTACAAAGATCAGGAGTTGCGCTGCTTGGTTGAGCATCGAAATGGGTACTTTTTCTTGTGGACTATTTTTTAAAATGAGGGATTATATTATAAGGCTGGATAAAAAAGAACTGGTTACCTGGACTGGGATTTTCGATGGTGGAGGCGAAGTCGTTCTTTTCTTACATTCTTCATCATTCACGATATCTTTGATACATTCTAATTGTTCGATTGCCTCGAGAGCTAGAGCGTGTTCGTCTTGATAGAAAGCTTCTGCGTCCTAGGATGAAATGTTAATGATTGAAGAGGAATTTAATGGTTGGGAATACCGCTAGTGCTTGCTTTAGGGCTAAAACTTGATCATCGGGTGATTTTCCGGCTAGCAACTGTTGAGCAGCTTTCTCGTCGTCATCGTAATCGCTAATATCGGTGAGAAAAGGAGTGGTTTCTCCGGTCTCGTCGGTGGTGTCAGTCGCAGGCTGGTAAAGATATTCTTGCTTAGTTATTTCAAACGTTACAATATACAAACTCTTAAAAATGCATTTACCTCACCAAGTCTGGCTCCTCCTGCTCTTTCTGTTTCCGCCCCTTCTACTCCTGCTCCTACCTCCCCCTCTTCTCCTGCTCCTGCTCCCGCCCCTGCCCCTTGTTCCTCCTCTCCTACGCCAGCTGGTCCTGCAGCACTAGCCACAGGTTCAATCAAACCCACAGGTTTCTCTTCGTACTCAATACCGTGCTCCTTCAGTAATTTCTTAAGCGCGTCGATCTCTTGCTGTAGGCGTTTAATGTCCGCGTTCTTGTTGGCTAGTAGAATGTCGATGATTGCCTCTATGGGTATGTACTTTCCTAAAGATAAGCCCTACGAGGAAAATTAGTGGAAGCTTGTGTGGCGAACTGCATCTACCTTCCCATCCCCTTGTCTAATTAAATCTAAAATATGTTGCCTTCGGTCTTCTGTACTGCCGCACCAAGCTCTGGCGTCCGTAGCCGAAGTATACGATTTCATGCGTCCGTCGGACCGTTTTCGCTGGACTTCGATATCACCAGCTTCTCGGAAGGCCCTGATCTTCTTGTTTACGTACGACATGTTGCACACTTGTATTTACTGATAATTTAATTCGAATTTTCGGCTATTGGTGTCATTTAAAGAACGTCCATTTTGCTTCGAGCTGTTCTATGTCAAGAAATAAATTTGGCGAACTAAAAATGTTGGTATGGATACGGGTGACAAAGCCGATGTGATGCCAAGTAGCTTCTTCGGGATGAAGACATAGGATGAAGATAATGGCTGATATGCATAAAAATAAGTATTTACTAAAAGTAAAAACTTTTAGTAAAAGCATCTACTTATTAGTAGTTACTACAAGTAAAAGTATTTACTGAAATTCATATGCATAACCTTTTACTTATACTTATAAGTAAATACTTGCAATTTTCCAGTAAATACTTAAAAACTGATTAACCCTCGGATGCCCAAGCCTGGGTCAAATTTGACCCACGAACCACTTTTTTGCGATTCTTTTCTTCAATCTCTTAAATTTTTTCTCCTGGATTTTATTTTTTGCCTGTTTTGGTATTGTCAACAATATGTGAATATTTTCCGCCGCTTGATTTTAGTTACATGATAGTTATCACATATTTGTTGCAGTGGGTCAATTTTGACCGACTTTGGGTCTTCAACTTATAGATGTTTTAACAAGCTGTTAAATGAGTAGGCATCATAAAAGATAAACAAAAAGATGGCCTTTTGTTTAGTTTATGAATTTCCTAAACCTTGCGGCCATTAATGCATATATTATATATATAAAATGTAGAACTCAGTTTACAGACCAAGTGTTTCTTGAAGAAGACGATAATTTCTCAAAGAGCTCGGTCTTCAGCTAGTGCAGCCTCCCATTCAGAGACGGGTGGATAATGGATTTAATTGTGTTCTTAAGGTTTGTAAATGGTAATTGGCACTGTAGTTGATACCAAAATAGTTAAAAGGATAGGGAATCCAGAGACGAAAAAAGAGAATATTGAGTGATATGCATAAAGTTTAGTAAATACTAAATACTGAAATTTACAAGTAAATACTGACTTTCGTATGAATAATAATAAGTATAAGCTTATAAGTATTTACTTATTACTTGGTCTTGAAAAATTTTCTAGGTTTTACTTAATTTTCCAGTAAATACTTCAAGTTGCATGCATAATAACAAGTACTTACTTGTACTTGCAAGTAAGTACTTAAAATTTTTCAAGCTACTTTTTAGTAGACTAGTGATTATACTAAATTGAATTCCGTCAACGTGCAGTGTGTCTTAAGAAGGTGATTGACATTTAAAGTTTAGAACAGTTTAGAATGGCGCTATTTGTTCTTCCTTTTCGTCAACAGAAATTATATAACCCCCGGAGACAAGCCTATCCGAATACGTACAAGGCAAAATGTACAGATTCGAGGAAGAAAACGTACAGTATTTAGATAGATAGATACAAAATTTAATCATTCCTTGGGGGCAATATTTTGGTGAAAAAAACTAGTCCCCCTTTTTCCTTGTAATTATTGTTCGGTTTATGAGGACTTTCCCTTTATTACTTGAGGAAGATCTACATCATTCTTCACTGACTATAAATTTGAACAAAATCTCTTTTTGCGCCTCATAAGCTTTTCAAATGAACAGATTGAACAAGAACTTCAACTTTAACAAAGCGAATTTCCATCAACTTTACCAAAAACTCCTATATTAAGAAAATCAAGGCAAAATGCATAGATTCTCCATAATCTATGGCTTATTGGCTTGCGAGCTTACTTAGAGCAGCCTTTTTTTTCTCTCGGCTGTTTGGTGTTTACGATTTGGTTAATAATATCGGCCATTTCTTTAAAATGGAAATAAATCTTTCCTGCTTGTTGTTTATTTGAGCAGTTTCAACACTTGCACCGGTTTCGGAGTTTGAGGAACTCATGTTGCAACCAAATTCGTACGTATGACACAAATCACAAAATTATTTTTATGACAGTTACGTTAATCAGTTTTTAAGTATTTACTGGAAAATTGCAAGTATTTACTTATAAGTATAAGTAAAAGGTTATGCATATGAATTTCAGTAAATACTTTTACTTGTAGTAACTACTAATAAGTAGATGCTTTTACTAAAAGTTTTTACTTTTAGTAAATACTTATTTTTATGCATATCAGCCATTGTGGGCTTTATGTCCGTAATGTTAACAAATATTCTGACAAATGCCGACAATGCGGCATTTTTTGTTGCAAGACACAAGTAACAATAGATGTGTTAAAAATCTACCAAAACTGTGCACAATAAAACTATCGAATTTTAAGTGTTTAATTTGTGTGTTGTCTTAAATCCTAACTGTTGTTTTTTATATACAATAGGCTGACCCAAAAATTAAAAATTAAAAAATTATCTGTCCTACCTTCGGAACAGTTGCTAAATGAGTTAAAAAAACTGTATGTTAAAGCACATTCATATAAAATAAGTTTTAAAGGTTGCTCAAAGAGAATAACTAAAGTACGAATACCAAAAATATATATTACTCTATTTCACATATTACACAGTTTAACAAATTATAAAACGGTATAATAAGTAAAACTAAAGCAAACAGTTAATTGAATTATTCATCAATGTGTTTTTGTTGCAATTCGGATAGACTTTTCGATGAGCTTGTAGGTACCACTTGTAGTACGTTTTGTTTCTCACTTTCGTTTTTCGATAATGAAGTATTATATTCTTGTACAAGCGCCACACCTCGCTCAGCACAGTCATTTACTACTTTTAGTTTACTGATACATTCAACATTTTGTTGATATTCGTTATCATTTTCCCAATGTAAAGGATGTATATTTAAAAAATTAGAACTTAACCCTAGCTTATCAAAGAAGAATTTTGTTTTTTCAGTGACAAAATAGTCAAGCGAAATTTTATTTCCCAGCATTTCAGATTGGGCAACTGTCGCTTTTTTCCTTGAGTTCTTTTGTGGTTTTGTGAGAGCTTTAAAAATTAGCTTTTTGTGTACCACAGAAATTTCGCTATCAAAAAATGCGACTCCCACGAGTTCTTCCCCTAAATACATTGAAGATAAAAAAATACTGATAAATTTTTGTCATGTTTTTTATACAAGTTTTTTAACACATGTTTTGTATGCTTATACATTAACTCAGTGATTTTAAAATTTCAAACAGTTTGAGCGACCTTTTAGAGGTCAACAAATGTGTTACATTTTTTTCTGCAATTACGTATTAATCGAATGCACCCATTGAAGGGGTAGGAGCAATGTATTTTAAAAGTTTAGTTTTATGTCACGTCTGATGGGTCACCCTAATATACAAATATTTCTTTTATTGATATTAATGACAAAAACTTTTGTTTTGTGACCTTTTTTTCATTAATTCACAATAAATAGGCAATTGGAACTTGAAATAATAAAATCTAAAGCAAAATTAGGGTGGGTCAAATTTGACCCAGCTTGGGTGTCTATGTAAAAAAAAATAGCTTGGGCATCCGAGGGTTAACGTAACTGTCATAAAAATAATTTTGTGATTTGTGTCATACGTACGAATTTGGTTAGAATACGAGTTCCTCAGACTCCGAAACCGGTGAAAGTGTTGAAACTAGTCAAATAAACAACAAGCAGGAAAGATTTATTTCCAATTTAAAGAAATGGCCGATATTATTAACCAAATCGTAAACACCAAACAGCCGAGAGAAGAAAAAGGCTGCTCTAAGTAAGCTCGCAAGCCAATACGCCATAGATTATGGAGAATCTATGCATTTTGCCTTGATTTTCTTAATGTAGGAGTTTTTGGTAAAGTTGATGGAAATTCGCTTTGTTAAAGTTGAAGTTCTTGTTCAATCTGTTCATTTGAAAAGCTTATGAGGCGCAAAAAGAGATTTTGTTCAAATTTGTAGACAGTGAAGAATGATGTAGATCTTCCTCAAGTAATAAAGGGAAAGTCCTCATAAACCGAACAATAATGACAAGAAAAAAGGGGGACTAGTTTTTTTCACCAAAATATTGCCCCCAAGGAATGATTAAATTTTGCATCTATCTATCTAAATACTGCACGTTTTCTTCCTCGAATCTGTAATGCCTTGTACATATTCGGATATGCTTGTCTCCGGGGTTTATATAATTTCGGTTGACGAAAAGGAAGAACAAATAGCGCCATTCTAAACTGTTCTAAACTTTAAATGTCAATCACCTTCTTAAGACACACTGCACGTTGACTGAATTCAATTTAGTATAATCACTAGTCTACTAAAAAGTAGCTTTAAAAATTTTAAGTACTTACTTGCAAGTACAAGTAAGTACTTGTTATTATGCATGCAACTTGAAGTATTTACTGGAAAATTAAGTAAAACCTAGAAAATTTTTCAAGACCAAGTAATAAGTAAATACTTACAAGCTTATACTTATTATTATTCATACGAAAGTCAGTATTTACTTGTAAATTTCAGTATTTAGTATTTACTAAACTTTATGCATATCACTCAATGCTTGTGAGGCAGGATAATTCTACTTACGTCTAGGAGACCGACGACGTAAAACGGTAAGATGATTCAGAACTAGGACTGATGTCGGAAAAGGAAGAAATTGGCAGTGTTTTAATTGGTGTTAGTTTCATATAAAATTATTTTATTTATGTAGGGATACAAGTTTAAATTGTAGATGCTAGAATTGACAGCCGCCCTGTCCCAAATTTTCGTTCCTTTCAAAGCACGTTCCTTTCCTTTTTCATCGGTTTTTTACATTTTATTTCCAAGTTGTATATTGTCTTCAAATCGTCATAGTCTCTCTGGACTCCGTTCAGGTTTCTCTCAGACAATTTTCTCAGTTTCAGATGTTCTAACTCTTAGTTTTTGGCATTCACACTCAATTTACTTCATTCTGTATCACTAGAAGCACATAAGCATCCTGCGGTTTCTTGCAGTTGCGTGATTATTTTTCGCAGACTTTCGTTCTCGTCCATCACTTGTCTAAGTTGATTTACGGTGTCCCGCAGACATTTATTATTGGCATTGCTTTTCATTAGTGCCTCTTGTAACTCTAGGATCCTTTCGGCACCACAAGGCCTTTGCCCCTCTGCCATTCCTTCTTCCAGTTCTTTAATTTTCTTGAGATAGTTCTTTCGTTCTGCCTCCAGTCGATCCACGCCGACCAGCTCGTGGTTTTCGAGTTTTTGAGTGATACATTTAATCGTACACGTTGCTTGCTTGAGCATCTGCTTCAAGCGCTCGTCGCTTTTCTTGGCCTTCCGGAGAGATTCTTCTAAATTGGAAATGGTGTTTTTATCTGTCTCGATTTTTTCGAGCAAAGCCTTGTTATTCTCCTGGAGGGACGTTATAACATTTTCCATATCTTTTTGCTCGATTTGTATACTTATCAAAGAATTATACTTTGTTTCTAAAGATTTATAGACTTCGTCTTTAGCTATTAAAGTTTTCTGAAATCCACTGATTTCATTTTCGAGTTCTTGGATACGTGTGCGCAAACATATTGTACAGCACGAGAGACTTTCGATGGAACTGCGCAACTGCTGCTGAACATCCGCTAGATGTTGTTCTGATTTCTCTATACGAGTATCGTTTTTCTCTAAATCAGCGCACATCATCAACACTTTGTATTTCATGGCGTCCTACATCATAGATGAGATTAGTTCAACATTAAGTAACTACAAAACTGAAGTTTTACCTGTCGGTCATCGAGCTCCTGCGTCAAACACTCAACATGGCAAGTCAGTCTCTTGATCTCGTCGTCCTGGTTGTCCATGCAGCACTCACAGTCCTCGATTTCCTTCATCACCTCCTCGTACTTCGACTTGTACATCGCGCATTCGGCTTTGAGGTCGTCAAAACCTTGCGTTTTCTTCGCTAGCTCCTCGTAATCTTTCTGGACTTTACGCAAATCGTCGCACTGTATCTTCAGAGAGTTACTTTCGAATTCCATCTTGTTCATTTCTTGCAGTCTACACTTGCACTCTTCAGCTTCCGCCTCCAGTTGGGTGATTCTGGTTAACAGTTTGTCTTTTTCGACACTATCTCCGACGCATTTCGTACACCTGTCTTCAAGTTTCTTGACTTCGTCTTTGAGACCCTTGAGACGATCCAGTCGCTTCCTGAGGTCGCCTTCGTCGGGTTTGAGACCTTCAATAACTCTAGATGCGCCAACTTGTTTAGGTGGGTTGTTGCACTTTAAGAGCTCGATTTCTAGTTTTTGGATTTTGGATCTCAAACCATCTCTATTTTTGGTGATTTCGTCTAGCTTCTGTCTGTCTTTAATATTACCTACAGTGAGACCGTCCTTGCACGTGTCCCATTCTTTTTTCAGTTCGGCGCTTTCTTCCTCAATGGAAGCAAGCTGGATGAAACATTCATTCAAAAATTTGACGTCTCTTTGAATGTTTTCTACATCTACTTCTATTTCGAGTTCGACAGTTTTGTTTTCGTCCTTGCAAGAGCCAGAAATTGTATTACTTGGTGCCTGGACTGGTGTTTTAGATGACCCCGCCGAAGATGGTTTTTTCTTACATCCTTCACCATCGATGATATCTTTGATACATTCTAGTTGTTCGATTGCTTCCAGAGCTAGAGCGTGTTTGCTTTTATAGAAAGTTTTCATGTCCTAAGAGCAAACTTTAGAGTATAAAAGAAAATTTAACAGTTGGGAATACCGCTAGGGCTTGGTTTACTGCCAAGACTTGATCCTCTGGTGATTTTCCGGCCAGTAACTCTTGAGCTGCTTTTTCGTCTTCGTCCTGATACCGTGGTGACACCTCCGCCGATGCTGGTCCTTCAGGTTCAGTCACACTTATAGGTTTTTCTTCGTTGTCAGGACCGTGCTCCTTCAGTAGTCTCTTAAGCTCTGCGATCTCTTGTTGTAGGCGTTCAATGTCTGCGTTCTTGTTGGCTAGCAGAACGTCGATGATGGCCTCTACGGGTACGTACCTTCCTAAAGATAAACCCTACGAGGAAAATTAGGTGAAGCTTCTGGTGAACCGGGCTTACTTTTCCATAGTCGCGTTTAACTAACTCTAAAATGTATTGTCTTCGGTCTTCACTAATGTCGCACCAAGCTCTCGCGTCCGTAGCCGAAGCATACACTTTCATGCGTCCATCGGACCGATTCAGTTGGACTTCGATGTCACCAGCCTCTCTAAAGGCCCCGATCTTCTTGTTCACGTACGACATGTTGCACGCTGGTCTTTACTGATAATTTAATACGAATTTCGGCTTTTGGTGTCATTCAAAGAACGTCCATTTTTCTTCGGGCGGTTATGTCAACAAGTAAATTTGGCAAACGCAAGCTGTTGGTATGGATACGACTGTGACAACAAATTTAAAACCCATTATAAAACTATTTTATTCATGTAGGAGGTACAAGTTTACGTTATTAATTCTGGAATTAGCAGATGCAGTGTTCTGGATTTTCTCTTTTATCCATTACGCCTTTCAGTTGATTTAAATTACCTCGCAAACACTTGATTGTCGCATTCGCTTTTGTTAATTCCTCCTCTAATTCAAAAATTTTCTCGGCACCACAAGGCGCTTCCGTGAGTCCCTGCAGTTCTTGCATTTTCTTACAGAATTCCTCCTTCTGCCGTTGTAACTCAACCGGCCCAATAATCTCATTTTTTTTCAATTTTAGTGTGATACACTTGATCGCGCACTTCGTTTGCTTCAACATCTGCTTCAAATGATCGTCGTTTTTGATCGTCCGACGCAGCGCTTCGGATAGCTGGTGTGAATTGTTTTTTTCGGATTCTAGATTCTGAATACACGTCTTGTTGTTTTCTTGGAGGGATTTAATGTTCTCTTCCAGAACTTTTCTGCTATCTTGTAAGTGTTTGAACGTAGTGTCTAAAGTTTTATATTTTATTTCCAAAGCTTTGTAGCTTGCGTCTAACTTTTTGTAACTGGCTTCTGTTGCTTTATACTGTGACCTTAAGTTGTCGTAGTCTCCGGCTGCAGCGTCGTATTTGGCTTCCAGTTCGTTGTACTTTTCTACTGACGATTTATATTTTGCGTCGAGTTGCGCGTAATTCTCTTCTAGGGCTTTGTATTTTTCTTCCAAAGTTTTGTAATTGGCTTGTAATGCTTGGTAGTTTGAATCCAGTGCGTTGTAATTAGATTTCGTGGCATTAAAACTTTCTTGTAACGCACTATGCATTGCATCTTTGGCAGCCAATTCTTCTTTGTGGCTTTCATTTAATGCGCTTTGTTCTTCGCTGCGTGCTTTCTTCATCTGCGCAATTTGATTTTCAAGTTGTGCAACTTCATCTTCAAGTTCTGTAATACGCGTACGCAGACAAGTTGCTTCACATGCAGGAGGAGCATCTTCATCAGCCTCGGGTACATGCGATTCCGGCTTCAGATCTTGTTTCTTCAACCGGGCCTTGATTGTCAAGGTCTTGGTTGTACCTTGCTCCTACAACAAACAAAGAAAGTTCGCCGGATTAAATACGAAAAATTAATTACTCTTTGTTTGTTTATTTCCTCCGAAAGACATTGGATGTGACAAGTTAACCTCTTCAATTCGGAATCTTGATTATTTATACAACATTCACATTCTTCTATTTGTTTCAAAAGCATTTCTCTTTCCTTTTCTAGATCGTCCGTTTTCTGCGATTTATTCCTAAGCTGTATATTTTCTTCGCTAAGTTTTACCACTTCATCGTACTTAGTCTTGTACATCGAACACTGTGCCTTCATAGTTTCAAATCCTGCTGTCCTTTTCAACAAATTTTCGTACTCTATTTGGACTGCCTCCAAATCTTTGCAGCGACCTTTCAGACAATTCTTTTCGATCTTCAAAATGTCTAGCTCCTTTAGTTTCATTTGGCATTCGTCCATTTCCGCTTTCAGTTTGTCCCTTTCGTTGCTATCACCGCTTGGTTCCACGCGTTTAGCTATCTTGTCTTTAAGATTCTTCACTTCATCTTCAAGACCTCTTAAACCGTCAAGGCGTCTTCTTAGCTCGGTCCCTTGCGGCGAACTACTTTCAAATGGCTGTGTAATAAATGTGTAAATAAGCGTTTTGGGAGTCGATTGACAAAAACCTGGATTCTTGCAGGCGCTGATGAAACCGTTTTTATTATTCCAGTTTCTCCTCCAAACTCATTCGATTTTCGACTAGGGCTTTCAGCGAGCTTTGCAAAATATGTTACTAAGATCGTTTGAGTTTTAAAAACTGGTTACCTGATTTGACACAGGTGCTGACACAACTGGTTTTACCTTGTCCTTTTCTCCTTCAGACCCTCTTGACGTGCGACTACTACTTTTTGCAGGCTGCGTAAAATGAAGCCATAGTAAGTAAACGTTATACCAAGAAGAATTATTTACCTGGGACACTCCAGCTTCTTCTGCAATGGCAGTTAATTTTTCTGACGACTTGTGGCTACCAGTTCCAGATTTAATAGATTCTTTTGATTTACGTCTACCACTTTCGGGTTGCTTTATACGGAATTTGTTAGAAAGGGTTCAATACAGATATTGCTTACCTGATCTACCGAAGTCCCTGGTTGAGCATCTCCTGCTTCGACAATGTTTCTAATGGCCTCTAATTGTTGTATTGCTTCCATGGCTAAGGCTCTATATAATGCTTCTACTTCCTATAGAAAACACGTTATGGTTAAGTTTCTCTTCTCAAAGACGAAATTAATTTTATGAAGATACAGACAAAATTGATAGTGGAATCTTGTTGGAGTTTTGTTATTCACCTCGCGATATTCCACGACTTCCTTGATCTCTTTTTCCGGGACTTCCGTGATCCCTTTTTCCGGTACGACTTTCATTTCCTCTTCTGCTGGTACTCCTCCTACTGTTATTACTTGCAATTCCATACCACTTATTGTGTCTGAACTTTTTCTTTTTATTGTAGGAAGGTCGCGGAATGAGGTTCTAGAGACTCTTGTCTGGGTGACAACGGGTTGTACCGTCTCTGCTTTATCTTTCTCATCAATTCCTTCTGCTTCCATTCCTGCACGAGAAGGATGAGACGATGTTTTAGATATCTTCTCTGCTTTATCAGCGCTCAGCTTTTCTTCTATTCCTTCTTCTGCAACTCCTGTACGAGAAGGATGAGACGATGTTTTAGCTATTTCTTCTTTCGGGGCTCCACCTAGAAGTTCTTCTTCTGGAGCTGCTGCTGCTTCTTCACCTGGTGTTACTGCAGCTGCGCCTTCTTCATCTCGTGCTAATTCTACCATTCCCCATTCTTCCGTTGGTCCTTGTTCTATTGTCGCTTTTATTTCTTCTTGGCTACCTCGTTCTTTTGGTGGTGCTTCTCCCGCTGACCGTTTTGATTTGACACTACTTTTCGCCGCCTCCGATGCTTGTGGTCCAAGGTGTTCGGATCCAGGTTCGACCGTTCTCACCGGTTTCTCTTCATAGGAAATGCCATGTTCTTTCATTTGCGCCTTGAGCTCAGCGATTTCTTGTTGCAGTCGTTTGATGTCGGCATTCTTGTTGGCTAGAAGAATGTCGATGATTGCTTCTATGGGTATGTACTTTCCCAGAGATAAGCCCTAAGAGAGAAGATCGTTTATGGAGGCGTGGTAGCTTGTAGGACTCACTTTTCCGTCGCCTTGTCTAATTAAATCTAAGATGTGTTGTCGTCGATCTTCTTTACTGCCGCACCAAGATCTAGCGTCGATAGCCGAAATATATGTCTTCATGCGTCCCTCAGACCGTTTTCGGCGGACTTCCACATGATTGACGTCGTGGAAAGCCCGCAGTTTTTTGTTGACATAGGACATTTTCAAGCTTGTCGGGTACTAATAATTTGATCCTGATTTTGATGGCATTCAGAGGACGTCCATGTTCTTCGAAGGTGTTTTGTGACAGAAAACTTGTCAAACTTATGGACGTTGCTATGGATACGAATGGCAAAGCTACTGTGATAAAGAATAATCGGAGATGGGAGCTGTGAATTGGCAGCAGCTGGTGTCAAAGCTAAAAATATATCAATCCCAAGTGATTACTGATTATAATTAAAATTTCATAAATTTACCATTAGTGTTATTTTAATGTCATACTTTTTTAAACCCTTTTATAAGAGTTTCGTTAAATGGCAAGAACATAAGCTTGGCCATGGTTACTATAGCAACCGTATAACAAACTATTCCGTTTTTTGACATTTGATGATTTTGTCTTATTTTTATACTTAACTAATTTTTGTCTTGTTCTTTGACGTAGTGCCGGTTCTGGTTCACTTTTGGGTGGGAAATTTAAACAAAGTGGTAAATTTACGCATGCGCTTCACAGCGCGCATGCGCAACGATTCAGTATCCCGCCAAAAGGTAAGTTCAGTGATAAATCGGTCATTATGTTTTATGGTGGATTCTAGAGACGTGTTTATTATGGTCATTAATTTCTCAAGGACAAGCGAAAGCAAAGTAAACTCTATAGAGAGCTACATTCTTTCACTGTATTATCATAGCGACACTTTCATTTTTTAAAGGATCAAAATGTCCATCCTGCAAGATTAAAAAACCAAGATAGACAAAGTTACTGCCTACATATCCCCAAATAGTCCTGTTTTACGATAGTTCTTGTTCTAAAATGAACTATAGTAAATTATTAGTTTGAAGAACGAGCAAAGACTACTTACCGTGAAAATCTTATAAAGTGGCTCCTACTTGTTGGAAGCATTGTTCACCTATGACAATCCCCCTCGAAATAATGCGTTAACCTTTTTTCTCAAATCATATTTACGTCTGTAGCTGTAGAACTCACTATTACTTATTACTTTTTGAAAAAGAGACAATTAACCTATGTATCAGAAAATACGAAGAATTTATTAAGCGTTTTAAATCTAGCATCTACAAAGTATAAAGATCTATAAAATTTCATAAAAGCGATCCGCCTCTGTTCATCGTTTGGCGACCGTCAAGCTTTGACCAAATCAACAAAAACTTCAAATCAAGAATTACACTTAAAAATGGCACAATTTATAATCTCTAGTGTATACTAGTACTTGCTAAGATAAGACTGATTTCGACGAATGACATATCCTCTAAGAAAATAAAGGGCGGGTGGGCGGAGCTAGTACTTGGGAAGATAAGACTGCTTTTGGCAAATGACATCCTCTAAAGAAATAGGGAACAGGTGGGCGGAGCTAGTATTTGCTAAGACAACAGTGATTTTTGGTAAATGGCATACTGTGATAACCCAAACATGTCGCCTTAAATTGACATGTGAAAAAAAGTGAAAGCCCGCGAAAAATTCAAAAATTCAAAATTTGACCTTGGCGATGATCGTCTAACAAAATGGAACCTACATTGTGTTTTGAAAAATGGCGGGATGCGTTCAGATGCAAATGGTGGACCCCAAAGTTGGAAAAGTAGCGCTAAATAAAACAAAAAATGTTAACAAAAAACTATGCAGCGGCAGTGGCACCAGAGTGCTATAAGAGTGTGGCGATTGAACTACGTCAATTTCAATCTTGAGCACAGCAAAAATATCCAAAGGGGGCGTTGTAGCACAAGCGGAGTTTGGGGCTACTGGTCGTGGCTGTTCTCCTACCCACGACGGTGATTCTATCTATCGCAAGCACTCGTCTTCTCGACCGCCCCTGAATTCTATTCTAACCTGCAGCTCGACTAGGAACCGCACACTCCGCTTCCACCACGTGTTTCTGTGTTATTTAACCTCAATTCCATTTATATGTTCAATTTCTATAACTCTTGTGAAATTTTAAACAACAAATTCTTATTTGAGATTAAGATTGGACATCAGATAATTTATATGATGGAAACATTCATCAACAAAATATTTACATAAAAAAAAAACTAGCAAAGATTTATAAAAACAAAAGATCTGATGTGAAATAAACTTGTGTAGATAAAATATTACGTGAGGTTAAGAAACTGCAGAGCATGACAGTTTACGTTCAATTTAAATTATACGACAAAGAAAATTACTGCAGTTAAAATTGTGAGATAGAGAAATATTGAATGAGGTGAAAATTGCAAAGCTAACAAATTTACATGAGATTAATATTTGCCACATTTTATCAACGAGTCAAACAAAGAGTTTATATGTTGTTACATTATGCCATGATCCAAGTGATTGGTTACTTAAAACAGTTTGTTTTGAGGGTTTATGTCGTGGACTGTTTATCCCAAAACAAAACACATGATAAATAAACACAAAATGGATCAGGCATTGTGAGGAAAGCTCCTTGGTGATGTAAGTTTTAGCGTTGCAACAAACTATGTCTCGGTAATATAGCTGTACACGTTGCGAGATAATTGTCTCGGTGATATGATGATGATAACGATGATAATTGTCTAAGGAGAGAAATCTTTAATCCCCCCCCGTCCCTGAGTCCACGATATTATGAATTTTACGGTCTTTTTCCACAGCATCTAGAAACGTTGTTCGTAATTAGACAAACAAAATCAAACGCGTCCTGACTAAGTGAATTTCATGAAAACTCCGGTAAGTGTTTATCTAAACAAATTCCTGATTGTTAAATTGTGTTAACTAGTTAACGATTAAACTCCTAACATGAACTGTGAATTTAGAAACAATGAATCAAATTATACGTGTAGAAAGCCGCAAGAATTAGCTACACATGTCGATTAATTGTCGTTAAACAAAGACTTCCTCCCTTTTATTAACTACCAAACCAACTAAACTTAACCTAACTCACCGCGTCTTTTCATCATGTTTTCACACAGAACCAAACCAACAATGACGCTTTCACCTCTCTACCAAGCCGCCCTCTTCTAATAACCCTCTAACTAAAATTTTAAGCAGAAGCATACACTACCCAAAAGCGCTAACGTGCACATGGTTGCCTATGTTTAACGATTTTTTTTATCGATTTTTTTTTAAATTCAAATTATTCAAATGTGATTTCACGCCGCTGTTAGTTAATTTCAGCGCGAAATTTTGATTCAAATTCGGTCACCACAATACCCTCTAAGAAAATAAAGGGCGGGTGGGGCTACTACTTGCTAAGATAAGACAGATTTTGACGAATGACATACGCTCTAAGAAAAAAAAGGGCGGGTTGGCGAGGTTAGTATTTGCCAAGAAAAGACCAAATAATATTACATGCCAAAAGTGTAGTAAAAGTAAAATTTGAATTCGGACATTGTTTTTGAAATAAGTCGTTTGAAAAAATCTCGTGAGTCTTGCTTTTGAAGTAATTTGAAAGAATTTCGGAGATTCCTTGTGTCCGATTTTTGTAATATGTAGTTTGAAAGAATCTTGGGGATCTCTTGTCTTGTTTTTGAACTAATTTGAAAGAGTCTCGGGGATCACCTTGTGTTTTGTGTTTGAAGTAGTGGAAAATTTCAATTTTGAAAAAGTCGTCTAAAAATTCTCAAAAAATTCAGGGCTATAGATCTTAAAAAACAAAACAGTTGAAGTTATCTAAGAAACAAGGCCGGAAGTGACTTTTGACACGTAATATTATTCGGCCTTATCTTGGCAAATATTAGCCCCGCCCACCCTCTCTTTATTTTCTTAGAGTATTTATCATTTGCCAAAATCAGTCTCATCTTAGCAAGTAGTAGCCCCGCCCACCCGTTCTCTACTTTCTTAGAGGGTACGTCATTTGCCAAAATCAGTCATATCTTACCAAGTACCTTATGCAAATTTCGACTTATTTTCGAGGATTTTCGAAATTTAACTAAATACATTTTCTTGTAGATTTCGGGCCGCATAGTTTGAAAGAGTCACGGACACTTCTTGTGTTTGTTTTTGAAGTAGTCTGCAAGAATCTCGGGGATCCTTCTCTTGTTTTTGAAATAATTTGAAAGAATCTCGGGCTTCTTCTTAAATTATTATTTAAAATTAAATACATTCCCATTGAATTCTAACATTGTAATTGGCAGTATTCAAGATTTAATTTTTAAAGATCGAATCGGGTTGGAGATAATCAGCGACATAAATGTCGTCGTGGATTCGAAAGGGCAAATGGGATTTTATGCTGATTTTGTGTTATGTTTTATGACTCCAATTTTGGAACATTGATACTCGGACGTATCTCTCAAAGCGACGTACGTACCGAATGATATTTTGTGTTTTTGACCATAGTGAATATGAGTTTTTGTAACTGGAAAATAGAGCCAAAGAAAAGAGAAAAAACTTAATAAAATTATTGTGTTGTTAATTTCAAGGTCACTCTTCCACCTTTGCGGTTCACCACTTTTCGAATTTTTCGCGGGTTTTCAAATTTTGTGCGCATGCCTCAATTTTGGCGGAATGTTTGGGTCATTACAATATGGTTGTGTTGTTTTTGTAATAATTTGATAAAATTCCATTTGACAACAATGTTTGGCTGATATAAAGCGAAGGTACAAATCAGCAAAATCAAGTAAGCAGTTAAAAATGTTTGACGTATCAAAAATTGTCAAACTTTTCGAAATCTTACGTTTAAAAGGTTCACAGTTAATTTTAGATCCCCTGGTATTTAATTTTCGGGTAAATTTAAAGGAATCTGGCGTTTTGTTGCTGGATGAACTTGAAAAAATCTTTTGAGCTTTTAGTGTTTTATTTTTTATAAATTTGAAAGTCTTGAGTGTTGCAGTGTTTTTTTTTTTTTAATTCGGGAGACTCTTGGGTACCCACGATGTATTATTTTGGGAGCTCATGGAAACTTTTTTTTTGTAAATTATTTAAAACAATTTTGGGTGACTTTGGTGTTCTATTTTTGGAAAAATCTGACCTGCACTTTTTTTCATAGGATACGTCATTTGCTAAAATCAGTTTTAACTTAGCAGTTACTAGCCCCGCCCACACACCCTCTCTTTTCTTAGAGGGTATATCATTTGCCAAAATCGGTCTTATTTCAGCAGATACTAGCTCCGCCCACCCGCCCTCTCTTCCCTCAGAGGGTATTTCATTTGCCAAGATCAGTCTTATCTTGGCAGCTACTAACCCCGCCCACCCACCCGGTCTTTTCTTAGAGACTATGTCATTGCCAAGATCAGTTTTATCTTAGCAAGTAGGGGTGCGATTTTGTTTCTCGATCGAAAAAAACTCGATAGCGAAAAAATCTCGTTTGCTGATTGGTTGAGCTGCTACCTTTCTGTCACATTTCTCGATTCTGTCACGAAATAAAGTCTTCATGGAGTGATATTTTCTCAATAGCTCTGAGTGAAGTGATAAATTTTGGAGACATAACCTCGAAATTTATGTCAAAATAGAAGTTCAAAATCGTAATTCTGAGTTATAAGTTTTTAAAATTAAGGTAATTGTAAACTTTTGAGCATTTAATAAGCTTATATGCAAAGAATAAATGCAAACTTTTGCATTTAAAAGATATGCAATGACATTTATCGCAAGTGATAATTTATCACTTCGATCGAGAAACAAAATCGCACCCCTGATGACTAACTTTTAGAAAAAATGATAAAAATTTGGACACATTACGAGCTTACTGATATGCACAAGGCAAGAATTTTGAACATTTTCTCTAGTGTTTAGTTAGCTATGCTTGAATGGAATTTTCTTTTGTTGGTTTTGTTTTGGTTTATACAGGGTCATCAAAATTAATTTAGAGAGAGTTGGTACCCCCTGTTTTTGTCGTGAAGTTTGTCCACCTTATGACAGATTTGTTTAAGGTTATATGGCAATGAATTCAGTGGCGTGACAAAAATTAGAAACTTCAAAAAAAAAGTCGAAAAAAGACGCCACTGAGTTTTGAAATTTGAAACTTGAAACTTCAAATCTGACAGCTAATATTTTTATACAACTTAATAAATCAAATTATTCAAGTTCAGGTTTACCAACTCTCTCAATCAATTTTGATGACTCTGTATATTAATGAAAAATAACAGCTTGTTTCATTAATATATAATAATCCACAATCATAACTGGTTGTTATTATTGTCCTAAAAAAATAAAAGATGGATTTCAGTCAACATCGTTACTCAGAAATCAGAAAATAAGTTGGAGGTATTCACGCATTAGTTGCGTGCAGTGTTGCCAATTTTTCTTTCATAATTTTTAAAATTTTTTTTGAGACTCCGAAACCCCCGTACGTAACGTACGGAAGAGTTAATCCGCTATTTTCCATTCACCCGGTATATGGCGCATGCGCGGTGTCCTTATCTTAAACACACCGCTTAAGTGGGTGACTCAGCACTTGTAATTGTTCGTGGAATTGGGGATAATAAAATAAGCTTATAAATTGAAATAATTTTATTAATGTACACCATGTACAAGATAAGCAGATCTCATACAGATTTGTTGTAATTTGCCATGTTAAATTACAGGTTAGTCTAAAATACGAAGTCATTTGTAATTGACTGTACAGTATAACTATGCGCAAAACTATAAGATTCTCTAAATAAGATAACAATTAAAATCAACAATAAGTAGTTGACATCAACAGTTCAACATTAAAGCGTTTCAATAAACACTCGCAAATGATGCCGTTCACTCTATCACAGTATTCCGAACGGATTCAGAAGCCTGAGCAAACACGTTCATGCAAATGCGAGTTCTCGCGGCTCGCACAGTAATACTGAAAGTGGGCCAATACACGGCAAACCCCTCTGTATCCTCTCAAAAACGGAGAATACGCCAAAAACCAACTCTAACTCAATTTATTAAAGGATTATAAACAAAACAGACAAGACGTACTTTAAATAAAACTTTGACACTGTGATGCAAGTCTATGTAATAAAGGGCACTTTCAACCAACACCCTACACTTACACTCGTAGCACAACGCCAGGCCACCACTCCTACAACTCTAAGTCTTAAGTCGATCGTCGCGCGCATGCGTGCTCCCGGCAAATGCCCATCTTGTTTCGAATGGCTCCGCTCGGGCATTTACCGCGGCACCGGAAACAAAACCTGGATGACACTGAACAGTAAACAAGATAATTAAAATAAGTATAACTATATGTTCATAATATGTATATACACATCTAAAAAAATACATTGCAAGAAAAAAATATTATCTTAATGATATATAATTCAATCTAGATATACATATATACATTATCCCGGGGGACATTGGCAATAACAAGTTAAAATAAATTCCAGAACTGACAGAAACACGAGTCAACCACAAATGAGTAGAACAGCATGCATCGTGTGGTTGTAGATTTTTTCAAATTCTTATTCTACCAGTGCTATGTAATAAGCTCAAGAGATATTAAGATATTGTCATGTAATCAGTAAGTATTAACATGTAGGACAAATTTGGGTTAAACTAACTTAGTTCCGTCATCACCGCTGCTCCTACGACGCATCTCTGAAAAATAACAATTAATAGTACTAATACTCAATCAGAAAATTTGACTACGAGGTGCACTACTAAAAATATTTTTTGAACAAATTTTAACATTTCTATTACAAAAACAAAAAAATTGGTCGAAAGTTATTTCGACAGAACTTCCCTGACTCCTGAAGTGCAACCACCCAACAAATCCCGCTTTTTTGAAAAATTATATATTTTTTGGTGATTTTTGTTTTTTGATAACCTCTATAAAAACTACACTCGTGCAGCTTTTTTGACTTGAGTTTTTCAATTATCCAATTTTTCATTTTTTTAATTGTTCAGTTTTCAGGTTTAAATTTTTCAAATTTCCAACTTTCGAATTTTCTAATTTTTCGTTTTGGTTTTTAAGTTTGCTTATTTTTTCAATTGTGTTCGACTCTTCAATGTTTAAATATTATAATTTCTTGTTTTTCGTTCCTTCAGTTTTTAAGTTTTGCAATTTTTGGAGTTTTCGATGTTCTGATTTTTTCCTTTGGAATTTCAATTTTTAAAATTTTTTAATTTGCAAAAATGATTAAAAAAATTTGCGATTTTTTGTTTTTTGATAATCTCTAGAAAATAAAAATCAATGGCCTAAATGACACGCCCACACCTTTTTGTCTTGAAATTTTCAATTCTTCAAATTTTTATTTTTGAATGCTTCAACTTTATGATTTGCAATTTTTCATTTCGGTTTTTTATTGCCTTTATTTTTACAGTTTTCGATGTTCCGATTTTATGATTTTCTGTTTTTTTAATTTTTCGATATGCGATTTTTTAATTTTTCGTGTTTTGTTCCTTCAATTTTAGCACATCAACTTTCAAGTTTTCATTTTTAAATTTTTCAGTTTTTCGATTTTGCAATTTTGGATGTAGCAATTTTTAGAGTTTGCAATTTTTCGTTTCGGTCTTTACTTTCTATTTTTTATTCATTTTTTTAATGTTTAGATTTGATGATTTTTAGTTTTTTCAATTTTAATTTTTTACAATTTTTTAGAGATGTACCGACTGCAGTCGGCCGACTGTTTATAAATGCAACAGACAGTGGTTTTTTTTTTCTATTTCTCTGACTACCTTAAAAACTTGTTTTATTTTAATAAAAGGAATAACTGAAGTTTCTTTTTTTTCCAAAAAATGTGTAAAATTTTTTTGGATAATTTTAACATTTAATTTTTTGTAGTAACTCAGTACAAAAATAAAGAATAACACAATTTAGGGCAGTTTATACAATACTTAACCAATTTTAACCACTTTTTTGGAAAATTTTTGGAAATTTTGAATTCGCTTTGCGTGTTTATTGGACCATATATCGTGACGGCGATTTCAGAATCGTAACTAGCCGAAGATTATCTACACTTTGACACCAATTTTCGGTCGATTAAACTAATTTTAACCGGTTTTGACAAAGCCGACTAGTCGGCCGACTGTAGTCGGTACATCTCTACAATTTTTCATTTTTTTTTTGTTTCAACTATTTTAAATTCATCAAATTTTCGATTTTCAATTTTTGTTTTCTGTTCTTTATTTTGTTTCTTTATTGTCTTTATCTTCACAATTTTTCAGTTCTTCAATTTTGTATTTTTTTTGTTTCTTTAGTTTTTCGATTTTCAATGTTTTGAATTTTCAAATTTAAATTTTTCAGCTTTTCCATTTTCCAACTTTTGAATTTTTCGCTTCCGTATTTTATTTTCTTCTTTTGAATTTTTCGTTTATTCAATTTTGAAATTTTGCAATTTTTCGTTTCTGTTTTTATTTTCTCTATTTTTACAATTTTCATAGATTTCGATGTTCCGATTTTATAATTTTTTGTTTTCTCAATTTCAATTTTTCAAATTTTCATTTCTTATTGTTCCTTTAATTTTACGACATGCAAGTTTTGGATGTTTCAATTTTAGAGTTTGCAATCTTTCGTCTCGATTTTTAATTTCTTTACTTTTTAAATGTTTAGATTTTATGACTTTTTGTTTTTTCAATTTTAATTTTTTTCAGTTTTTCATTTTTTTTAATTGTTTCAACAATTTTAAATTTATCAAATTTTCGATTCTCAATTTTTTGAATGTTCAAGTTTCAATTTTTTAGTTTTTCAATTTTCCAACCTTTGAATTTTTCATTTGTTCAAATTTTCGATTTGCAATTTTTGGTTTCTGTTCTTTATTTTGTTTCCTTATTGTCTTTATTTTTACAATTTTTCAATTCTTCAATTTTTCATTTTTTTGTTTCTTCAGTTTTTCGATTTTCAATTTTTTGAATTTTTACTTTCTTTATTTTTTAACTATTCAATTTTTTAATGTTTAGATTTTATGATATTTTTGTTTTCTCAATTTCTCGATATGCATTTTTTCAGTTCAATTTTTCATTTTGTTTGTTTCTTCAGTTTTTCGATTTTCATTTTCCTGAATTTTCAAGTTTAAATTTTTCAGCTTCTCAATTTTTCAACTTTTGAATTTTTCAATTTTTCGTTTCTGTTTTTTATTTTCTCTATTTTTACAATTTTCAGTTTTCGATGTTCCGAAAACTGTTAATTTTTTGTTTTTTCAATTTTTCATTTTTTTTGTTTCAACAATTTTTTTTTAAATCTTCGTTTTTTGATTTTTCAATATTTCGTTTTGCAATTTTTCAGTCCTTCAATTTTTAATTTTTTGTTGTTTCTTCAATTTGTCGATTTGCGATTTTTCAATTTTTCGTTTCTGTTTTTTATTCTCTCTATTTTTACAGTTTTCACAGTTTTCGATGTTCCGATTTTATAATTTTTTGTTTTTTCAATTTCAATTTTTCAACTTTTCATTTCTTATTGTTCCTTCAATTTTACGACACGCAACTTTTACAGTTTTCATTTTTAAATTATTCAATTTTCACTTTTTTTTTCATTTTTTTTGTTTCAACTATTTAAATTTTTTTAATTTTCGACTTGCAATTTTTCAGTTCTTCAATTTTTATTATTTTTTATTTCTTAAGGTTTTCAATTTAAAATTTTTTAAATTTTCCAGTGTAAATATTTCACTTTTTCAATTTTCCAACTTTTGAATTTTTCAATTTTTCGATTTGCAGTTTTCGTTTCGGTATTTTCTTTTCTTCATTTTTTTATCTTTCGTTTCTTTCATTTTTCACTTCTTCAAATTTTCGTTTCGGTTTATAATTTTCTTAATTTTTTTAATTATTCAATATTTCAATGTTTACATTTGATGATTTTTTGTTATTTCAATTTTAATTTTTTTTTGTTTCTACAATTACTTCAAATTATTCAAATTTTCGATTTACAATTTTTCAGTTCTTTATTTTTTCATATATTTTTTTGTTTCGTCAGTTTCTCGATTTTAAATTTTTTGAATTTTCCAGTGTAAATATTTCACTTTTTCAATTTTCCTAGATTATATGATTTTTCGTTATTTCAAATTTAATTTTATCAATTTTTCTTTTTTTTTGTTTCTTCAGTTTTTCGATTTTCAATTTTCCAACTTTTGAATTTTTCAATTTCATCTTTCGACTTTTCGTTTCTTCAATTTTTCGATTCTTTCATTTTTCATTTCTTCAATGTTTAGATTTTATGATTTTTAGTTTTTTCAATTTTAATGAATTTTTAAGTTTCAATTTTACAGTTTTTCAATTTTCCAACTTTTGAATTTCTCTTTTTTTTTGTTTCTTCAATTTTTAGATTTTGTAATTTATCCTTTTTTCAAATTTTCGATTTACAATTTTTGATTTCTGTTCTTTATTTTGTTTATTGTCTTTATTTTTATAATTTTTCGTTTCGGTTCATTCTTTTCTTTATTTTTTAATTATTCAATATTTCAATGTTTACATTTGATGATTTTTTGTTATTTCAATTTTAATTTTTTTTTTGTTTCTACAATTACTTTAAATTATTCAAATTTTCGATTTACAATTTTTCAGTTCTTTATTTTCTCATATTTTTTTTTGTTTCGTCAGTTTCTCGATTTTAAATTTTTTGAATTCTCCAGTGTAAATATTTCACTTTTTCAATTTTCCTAGATTATATGATTTTTTGTTATTTCAATTTTAATTTTTTCAATTTTCATGTCTTCAAATTTCTCGATATTCATTTTTTCATTTATTTGTTTCTACAATTATTTTACATTATTCAAATTTTCGATGTACAATTTTTCGTTCTGCAATTTTTCATATTTTTTTTGTTTCTTCAGTTTGTCGATTTTCAATTTTTTTAATTTTCAAGTTTAAATTTTTCTATTTTCCCACTTTTGGATGTCTCAATTTTTAGATTGCAATTTTACGAGTTAAATTTTTTATTTTTCAGTATCTCGATTTTTCAATTTATCGTTTCTTCAATTTTTTAATTTTACGGTTTTAGAATTTTAGCATTTTTCAATTATTGGACTTTAAAGCTTTTTCATTTATTCTATTTTTCATTTTTTCGATCTTTCAATGTTACAGTTTTTCGACTTTACAATTTTGACGATTCCATAATTTTTCGATTTCACAAATTTTGGCTTTTCTAATTTTACAATTCGATTCGGTTTTTCTTCTTTCCAATTTTTCGATTAATTATTTTTTTCGATTGTTAGGATTGTTAGATTTTCAATATTTCAATTTTCAATCTTTAGTGCTTAGATCTGCAATTTTTCTATTTTGCAATTTTTCGTTTTTTCACTTTTTCGATTTTTCAACTTTTGGAATCATCAAAATGAAAAAATTGCAAAACTGTAAAATTGAAAAATAAAAATGAAAACTTTGAAAAATGTAAAAATTGGAAATCAGTAACTTGAAAAATTGAAGAAACGAAAAGTTGAAATTTGAAAACAATCGGTCCAGTAGTTTCGGAGATTATCTGTTTGATAAAAATCGACACAGACCCTAGACAGACAGACAGGCGGAAAGGAAAGACCACTTTTTTCGTACTCTGGATGTCATGAAACATCAAGAAAACATGAAAGCGCCAAGTCGCCCGATGGACTTGAAAACTGTAACTCCTTAGCTTACGTCCAGGAAGCAAAAATTGCCGTGCACCTCGTAAACCTAAAACTGAGTCCCCTCTCAGAATACATCGAGGATCTCCCACCAACCTTGTAACTTTATCCATAACACTTCTAAGCCTCTGCTCCGTGACGCTCGGCATCAACTTTTTCACCATTTCGCTAATGAAGTTCTCCGTGATTCCCGGACTCGCCCTCTCCGCTATTTCAAAGGCATTTTTCAACTCTTCAATGGCATCGTTAGACTTGTGAGCGCTGTCGGCCGCCCGCCCATTATAATGATGTTTTCTCTGCAACTAATGCCGGAATCAGATCATTACCACACGACGATCGTCGAAACTCACTTCGGATATTAAGGGATAGATTACGCCTGATAAACATGGCGAACGCGAGTCGGTCCGGCCGCCGTTCGAATGTTCCCGCCCTCCCGGACGTCTGTTCGGCTTCTTCTCGACTTCCGGCTCCCCTCGGTGGTCCAGCGGGCTCAGTTCGCGCGAAATCCTCTTCCCTCTGTCTTTCGAGTCGGCGTCTTTTTCCCTGTCTCGGTTGTCGGAGGGCGACTGCACCACGGACTGCGGCCTCGCGGACTGGGGAAGACGAGTGACTTAAGTCGGGTTCGGTGACGACGGCGACTAGATGTACTTACCGGTGTGGCTTTGTCGGGTCGGTAGTGGTTAAGGTTGGAGTCCTTGGGTGGCGATTTGGCTATGGTTGGTCCAGATCCGTTTTGAATTTTGTTGGTTATTTTATGATTGGGCGTAAGATCTTCTTGGGGTAGTTTGATGGAGTGGTTTCCTTTGACGGTCATAATCCAAGGATCGTCCAAGTCGCTTTCTTGTTTTGGCTCCTCCCTGAAAATTGAGGAGGTTAAATTGTGATATTTCACAGTTTTGGAGGACGTACGAATCTGAATTTTCCGATTCCGTTTCACTTTCTTCGTTCCTTGTACATCGCCATTTTTTATACCTATCGATAAAGTCTATTAAATACGAATTCTTTTTCGCTTTCCTAATAAATGGATATTTGAGCAGTTCTTTGGCTGTGGGTCTCTGAAAAAAAAAAAAAAATGAATAATAAGAATAAAGGCAGGTTTGTTACATATCAAAAAATTGGCCGAAGCTTATTTCGACAGAACTTCCCTCGCCCCTGAAGTGCAGCCCAACAAATCACGCTTTTTTGAAAAATTATAGACCTTTTTTTGCAATTTTTGTTTTCTGATAACCTCTATACATTACAAACCAGTGGCAGAAATTAACACTCACGCAGCTTTTTTGACTGAGTTTTTCAGTTCTTCAATTTTCGTATTTTCAAGTTTAAATTTTCCAACTTTTGAATTTTCCAAATTTTCGTTGTTTTTTTTTACTTTTTTTTATTTTTTCAATTTTAATTTTTTCCAAGCTGTTTATAATATTTTATAATTTTTCATTTTTCCAATTTAATTTTTTCTCGATTTTTTGTTTCTTCAATTTTTCGAGTTTTCATAAACTTTTTAAAATTTTAAACTTTTCAATTTTCCAGTTTTTAATTTTTCAATTTTTCCTTTAGGTTTTTTACTTTTTTATTTTGTGAATTATGTATTCCATTTTTCAATGTTTAGTTTTTATAATTTCTTGTTTTTTCAATTTTAATTTTTCGTTTCTTCAGTTTTTAAATTTTGCAATTTTTCGATTTAAAATTCCTCGAATTTTCGATTTTATAATTTTTTCTTTTGTAGCTTCAATTTTCAAACTTTTGGATATTTCAATTTTTAAATTTTACAATTTTTTGATTTGTAATTTTTTGTTTCGTTTTTTAATTTTCTTTATCTTTGGTCAATTTTTCATTTCTTCAATTCTTCGATTGATATTTTTAAATTTTCGATTACTTTTGTTTCATAAGATTTTAAATTTTTCGATTTTATATTCTCTTATTTTTTTTTTCAATTTCTCGATTGCGATTTCTAATTTTTTCATTTTTTTTTTGTTTCATCAAATTATAAATTTTGCAATTTTTCGATTTAAAATTTTTCGAGTTCTCAATTTTTAATTTTTTCTGTTTCAAGTTTAAATTTTTCAATTTTCTAGCTTTTGGATTTTCCAATTTTTAAGTTTTCATTTTTTCGTTTCGGTTTTTTACATTTTTATTTTTTCAATTTTAATTTTTCTGATTATTGGTTTCTTCAGTTTTTAAATTTTGCAATTTTTCGATTTAAAATTCCTCGAATTTTCGATTTTATAATTTTTTCTTTTGTAACTTTAATTTTCAAACTTTTGGATATTTCAATTTTTAAATTTTACAATTTTTTGATTTGTAATTTTTCGTTTCGATTCTTAATTTTCTTTATCTTTTGTCAATTTTTCGTTTCTTCAATTCTTCGATTGATATTTTTAAATTTTTGATTACTTTTGTTTCGTTAGATTTTAAATTTTTCGATTTTTTATTCTCTTATTTTTTTTCAATTTCTTGATTGCGATTTCTAATTTTTTAATTTTTTTTTGTTTCATCAAATTATAAATTTTGCAATTTTTCGATTTAAAATTTTTCGAGTTCTCCATTTTTAATTTTTCATTTTTTCGTTTCGGTTTTTTACATTTTAATTTTTTCAATTTTAATTTTTCTGATTATTGGTTTCTTCAGTTTTTAAAGTCAATATTTTTTACAGATTTGCAATTTTTCTGTTTTCGATATGTAATTTTCTTTTTTTTTCAATTTTTCGATTGCGATTTCTGCTTTGTACATTTTTTTAATTCACAAGATTTTAAATTTTACAATTTTTCGATTTAAAACTTCTCGAGTTTTCAGTTTTTTATTTTCTTTATTTTTACAAGTTTATAATATTTTATAATTTTTAATTTTTCCAATTTAAATGTTTTCTAATTTTTTGTTTCTTCCATTTTTCGATTCGCAATTTTTCTAGTTGTCAAGTTTCAATTTTTCAATTTTCCAAATTTGAATTTTCCAATTTTTAATTTTTCCGTTTCGGTTTTTACATTTTTATTTTTTCAATTATGTATTCGATTTTTCCATGTTTAGATTTTATAATTTCTTGATTTTTCAATTTGAATTTTTCTAATTATTCGTTTCTTCAGTTTTTAAATTTTGCAATTTTTCGATTTAAAATTTTTCGAAATTTCAATTTTTATTTTTTCAATTTTTCAAGTTTCGATGTTCTATTTTTCGACATGTAATTTTTCGTTTCGATTTTTAATTACAATTGTGTAGGTTTTTCGAAAATTAATAAATTATTATTTTCTTAATTTTTTTCAATTTTTTCATTTTTAATGTCTTTAAAATTTTTTTGGTTTGCATTTTTTTGAGTTTTAAAATTTAAATTTTTCGATTTTGCAACCTTTGAATTTTCCAATTTTTCGTTCCGGTTTTTTAATTTTTTATTGTTTCAATTTAAAATTTCTCGAATTTTCAATTATTAATTTTTCAATTTTTCGAGTTTTTTGTTCCTTCATTTTCAAAATTTTCGATTTAAAATTTTTTGGTTCGTAATTCCACGAGTTTTCAATTTTTCAATATGTAATTTTTCGATTGTGATTTTTCAATTTTTCATTTCTTTTATTTCATCAGATTTTATTTACAATTTTTCGATTTAAAATTTCTCGAGTTTTCAATTTTTTATTTTAAATTTTTTCAAATTTGCAATTTTTCGTTTCGATTTTCTATTTTCTTTATTTTTACAAGTTTATAATATTTTATAATTTTTCATTTTTCCAACTTATTTTTTTCTCAATTTTTCGAGTTTCCAAGTTTAAATTTTTCCATTTTCTAACTTTCGAATTTTCCAATTATGTATTCGATTTTTCAATGTTTAGATTTTATAATCTCTTGTTTTTTCAATTTTAATTTTTCGTTTTTTCAGTTTTTAATTTTTCAATTTTTCAAGTTTTGATGTTCTGATTTTATAATTTTTTCTTCTGAAATTTCAATTTCTAAAATTTTTTGGTTTGCAATTTTTTCAATTTTTAAGTTTTTTTCGATTTTCTAACTTTTTAATTTTCCAATTTTTCGTTTCGTTTTCTACTTTTTTATTTTTTCAATTATGTATTCGATTTTTCAATGTTTAAATTTTATAATTTCTTATCCTTTCAATTTTTCGAGTTTTCGATGTTCCGATTTTATATTATTTTCTTTTGAAATTTGAATTTTTTAATTGTACAATTTTTCGATTTAAAATTTCAAGTGTTTTCAATTTTTAATTTTTCGTTTTCTCAAACTTGCGATTTGCAATTTTTACTTGTTTTAATTTTTCGATTTGCAATTTTTCAAATTTTCAGTTTTTGTTGCTTCAAGTTTTTATTTCCAAATTTTTAACTTTTTTGATTTTCCAACTTTTGGATGTTTCTGGATTTTTCAATTTTTCGTTTCTTCAATTTTGTATTTGCAATTTTTCTAGTTTTCATTTTAGATATGTAATGATAATGATAATTTAAAAACGTTTTCATTTTTTCAATTTTACGGTTTTAGAATTTAACCATTCTTCGATTCCTAGGATTTTAAGACGTTTTCATTTATGTATTGGACTTTTCATTTTTTGGATTTTCAATTTTTCAATGTTAAGAGCTTTTAGATTTTACCATTTTGACAATTCCATAATTTTTCGGTTTTACAATTTTTGGGTTTTCAAATTTTTCGATTCAATTAGTGTTTTCTTCTTTCCAGGTTTTCGATTCTTTCTTTTATTTCGATTTTAGTTTTTCAATGTTTCAATCTTTTGTTTCTTCAGTGCTTCGATTTGCAATTTCTTGATTTTTCACTTTTCAATTTTTTGCTTTTTCAGTTCTCCGATTTTGGATGTTTCAATTTTTAATTGTTCAATTTTTCGATTTGGAATATTTCGTTTCGGTTTTTTATTTTCTTTCTTTTCAATTTTTCTAGTCTTCATTTTAATTGTGTGATAATTATAATTTTTCACTTTTTCAATGTTAGTTTATTGTTCGGCTTACGATTTTAAAGATTCCATAATTTTTCGATTTTACAATTTTTAGGTTTTTCAGTTTTTCAATTTTTTCCGATTTTTAATTGTTTGATTTTTCAACGTTTCGAATGAAAACAACAAAAGATGCAAAATAAAATCAAACATGAAAAAACGAAAAAGTATAACATGAAAACTTCGAACAATTCGAAAAAATTGGAAATCAAGAACTCGAACAATTGAAGAAACGAAAAATTGAAACATCAAAAGATTAAACAATGATAAACTTAAAAATCGAAAAAGTGCAAAATCGAAATATTGAAAATTTAAAAATTGCGTATTTGAAAAACATTTGAAAATAGAATAAAAGAAAAATGATAAAATAGAAACAAATGTTGACTAAATAAAGGAGATAAAAATACGAAAGATTGTGACATAACATCGAGAAAACGAAAATTACAAAACTTCAAAAATTGAAAATTGAAAAATTTAGAAACTGAAAAATCGAAAAATGAAAAATTGATTTCAGAGCATTCGGTCCAGCAGGTCTCATAAAAATCGATACAGACGCCGACCGACAGACAGACAGAAACGGCAGACCACTTTTTCTACTCTAGAGGTCACGAAACGTCGAGAAAACACGAATTCCTACTCACATTTTCCGGATCCTTGTTCAGGCAAGCCTCGACGAAATCCTTGAACTGTTTCGTGTAGCTGCCGGTCAGCTGCGGCGGGTTGTTCTTCGGTATGAGGAAGAGCACCCGCATCGGATGGAGCTCGGAGTTGGGCGGCTCGCCCTTCGCCAGCTCGATCGCCGTGATCCCCAGACTCCATATGTCCGCCTTGGAGTCGTACGCCGACTGCTTGATCACCTCCGGCGCCATCCAGAACGGCGTCCCCACGAACGTGTTACGTTTGCTGGTCGTGTTGGTGAGCTGGCCGGCGACGCCGAAGTCGGCCAGCTTGACGTCGCCCATCTCGCTGAGGAGGACGTTGGCCGCCTTGATGTCCCTGTGGAGTTTACGTTCGCTGTGAAGGTAGTCGAGGCCTTTGAGGACCTCGCGGAGGATGATCGCGATGTGCATCTCCTCGAAGTTGCCGGCTTTCATTAGGTCCAGCGCCGACCCGCCGCCCAGGTACTCCATGATGATCCACAGCTTGGTGCCCTGGGGACAAGAGGGGCGAGTTGAGATAAGTGGGCGATTGTTGGGGTGAATTTTTTATGGGGAAGAAGGCGCGGAGAATGATGAGGGTTAATAAATAATCGGTTCGGAGGGAACAGTTGCTGCGGTCAGAGATGGAGCTTTGGGTGGTAAATGGTACAGGAGAAATAAATTGGTAAACAAATAACAGTGTTTCACTTTTTTTGTGATACTTCCAAATGAAGAAATCATTTTTCGTACACTTTTTATTAAAATGTTTGAGGCACAGCAGATGTTTTCCTTAAGAATGGCTGACATATGGCAATGTTACACGTATTTGGATTGTTATGGCAAAACACAACAATGAATTTAAATAATAATAAAACTTGAACGGTAAATCGATTTTGTTAATTATGTCATTTTCAACTGACGATATGTGACATTACTAAGAAGTACTATAACATTATGTTAGTTAAGAATAAAAATCCACTATCTGGATATTTTCACATCATAATACTATATATCGAGAGTCCCAGTTCATCTGTCCCACTCCAAATAGCTGCTATTTAAAAAGATTTTGTTTAAAATGTAAAAAAGTTAATTTAGCCAAAGAAATCTGTAAAATACTTTTTTAAATTGAATTGCGTATATAAAAATATACGAAATAACTTGTGATCACTGTGTTTATAACAATAATCATCCTAGAACAATGGCAGAAGTATCAGTTCATTCAACCGGGAAAGATTTCAATGAAGATAAAAATACAGTTTTATATTTTTTAAAATAGATTTTTCAGTTGTCCTGAGCGGAGCACGAAGTCATGTTCAAACAAAGTAAGAAGTGATGCAATCTTCAGTCACCTTATCAGGTGGCACATCAAAACAAATCTCTATGAAACTTTTATACCACCCAAGTGTTTATCTTGAATAAGGATAATAAAATTGCTCACCTTATAATGTTAGTCGTTTATATGGTGCTTATACTAATGTTAAGTCGGTAAATAGTAACAAAAAATACAGTTTTTTTTGTGATGGTGTAAATCCACAAATGTTGACTCTTTTAGATTAGAGTTACTGAAATTTATGAAAAATAAATCAAGTTTCAAGTTCAAGTTTTTCGTTTAAATTTAATTTTTATTAAATCTTAATTTGCCGTAATTGTTCGTCGAATCAATGCTTATTTTGAGTAAATATATCGAAAAGACCAATAGTTACTTAACTATATAGAGGATATTTTTTGGTAGACACCAAATTTTTGTTCAGGAAATATCCGAAAATAATTTGGAAAACAAAATTAGAGGCCACTGTGCTTTTTTTTTGATACCAGATTCTTGTTCAGAAGGTCCGAATTAAGAAAGGGAGTAGTTTTCCGGCAAACCGGGGTTCGTTTAAGGGAGATACATAGTTTGATATGGCCTAAATTCGAAAATTTCGGTCCTACGCAAAGATTTCGTCATAAAATAAACATTTTCCAATTTGACTGAAATTCAGTTTCTAGAAATTGGCCTGCTGAGTCCATTTCTCGGCATTAGTTGTGGAAAATTTTCACTGTTTTACCCAAAATCCTTATTAATCCATATTCAAAAACCAAATTTTGAGTATGACAGTCCATAACTCCGGAACCGGTTGAAATTCATAGTTCCGGTTATCATCATTCGCTTTCTTCAAGTTTTCCAGTCGCATTGGTTAATTTTCAGACCGAAGTCCTTGTCCATTTAGAATCTATGCATCCATTGATCAGATGGTGCCATTTTCCGAAGACTCAAACATAAAAAAAAATAGAGGCCATCGTGCAATTTTTTTGACACCAAATTCTTGTTCAGACGGTTCGAATTAAGCAAGGGAGCAATTTTCAGACAAATTGGGGTTCGTTTAAGGGAGATAGTTTAAATTCGAAAATTTCGGTCCTATGCAAAAATTTAGTCAAAAAATAAGCGTTTACCAATTTGACTGAAATTTGGTTTCTAGAGCAGTTTCGGCCTACTGAGTCCGTTTCTGGTACTAGTTGTGGTAAATTTTCATTATTTTCACCAAAATCCTAATTAATCCACATTCAAAAACCAAATTTTGAATTTGACAGTCCATAACTCCGAAACCGGCAGAGATTCTTAGTTTCGGTTTTGATCACTCGCTGTTCTGAAGTTTCCCAGTCCCACTGGTTAATTTTCAGGACGAAATCTTTGTCCGTTTAGAATTTACGCATCGATTTATCGAACAGTCTCCTTTTCAGAACACTGGAAAACCAAAAATTAAAAAAAAATCAGGGACCGTCCTGCAATTTTTTTGACACTCGTTGCTTGTTGTCGAGGTTCGAATTGAATTAGGGAAAGAAGCAATTTTCGGACAAATTGGGGTCCGTTTAAGGAAGCTTGATATGGCCTAAATACGAAATTTTGATCATATTGAAAAATTTGATTAAAACATAAACATTTTCCAATCTGGCTGAAATTCGGTTTCCCGAATATTTTCGCCCCACTGAGTCCGTTTCTGCCATCAGTCGTTGAGAATTCCCACTATTTTAAATGAAATCCCTATTAACCCATACTCAAAAACCGAATTTTGAGTTTGACAATCCATAACTCCGGAATCGGCTGAGATTCTTAGCTCCGGTTATCATCATTCGCTTTCTTGAAGTTTTCCAGTCGCATTGGTTAATTTTCAGGCCGAAGTCCTTGTCCATTTAGAATCTATGCACCCATTTAGCAGATGTTGCCATTTTCCGAAAGACTCAAACATAAAAAAATTAAAAAAAAAAAATTAGAGGCCATCGTGCAAATTTTTTGACACCAAATTCTTGTTGGGAATGTTCGAATTAAGGAAGGGAGCAATTTTCAGACAAATCTGGGTTCGTTTAACGGAGATAGTTTGATATGGCTTAAATTCCAAAAATTCGGTCTGACGCAAAAATTTAGTCAAAAAATGAGCGTGTTTCAATTTGAATGAAATACGATTTCTAGACTCGCTTCAGCCTCCTGAGTCGGTTTCTGGCATCAGTTGTTGAAGAGTTTTACTATTTTAAACTAAATTCTTATTAATCCATACTCAAAAACTAAATTTTGAGTTTGACAATCCCTAACTCTGGAACCGGCTGAGATTCTTAGTTCTGGTTTTCATCATTCGCTTTCTTCAAGTTTTACGGTCGGATTGGTTAATTTTCAGGTCGAAGTATTTGCCCATTTAGAATCTATGCACCCATTTATCACACGGTGCATTTTCCGAAGACTCAAACATAAAAAAATCTAAAAAAAATTAGTGGCCCTCGTGCAATTTTTTTGACAGCAAATTCTTGTTGAGAATGTTCGAATTAAGGAAGAGGGCAATTTTCAGAGAAATCTGGGTTCGTTTAAGGGGATAGCTTGATACGGCTTAAATTCCAAAAATTCGGTCTTACGCAAAAATGTAGTCAAAAAATGAGCGTGTTCTAATTTGACTGAAATTCGATTTCTAGATTGGTTTCGGCCTCCTGAGTCCGTTTCTGGGATAAGTTGTTGAAAATTTTCTCTATTTTAAACGAAATCCTTATTAATCCATCTTCAAAAACTAAATTTTGAGTTTGACAATCCCTAACTCCGGAACCCGCTGAGATCCTTCGTTCCGGTTTTCATCATTCGCTTTCTTGAAGTTTTCCCTTCGTATTGGTTAATTTCAGGTCGAAGTCTTTGCCCATTTAGAATCTATACACTCATTTATAAGACGGTGCCATTTTCCGAACACTCAAATATAAAAAAATTCAAAAAAAAAAAAATTAGTGACCATCGTCCAATTTTTTTGACAGCAAATTCTTGTTGAGAATGTTCGAATTAAGGAAGAGGGCAATTTTCAGAGAAATCTGGGTTCGTTTAAGGGAGATAGCTTGATACGGCTTAAATTCCAAAAATTCGGTCTTACGCAAAAATGTAGTCAAAAAATGAGCGTGTTCTAATTTGACTGAAATTCGATTTCTAGATTGGTTTCGGCCTGCAGAGTCTGTTTCTGGAATCAGTTGTTAAAAATTTTCACTATTTTAAACGAAATCCTAATTAATTCATACTCAAAAACTAAATTTTGAGTTTGACAATCCCTAACTCCGGAACCGGCTGAGATTCTTAGTTACGGTTTTCATCACTCGCTTTCTTGAAGTTTTGCGGTCGTATTGGTTAATTTTCAGGTTGAAGTATTTGCCCAATTAGAATCTAAGCACCCATTTATCATACGGTGCATTTTCCGAAGACGCAAACATAAAAAATTCCAAAAAAAATTAGTGGCCATCGTGCAATTTTTTTGACACCAAATTCTTGTTGAGAATGTTCGAATTAACGAAGGGAGCAATTTTCAGACAAATTTGGGTTCGTTTAAGGGAGAATAGCTTGATATGACTTAAATTCCAAAAATTCGGTCTTGCGCAAAAATTTAGTCAAAAAATAAGCGTGTTCCAATTTGACTGAGATTCGATATGTAGATTGGTTTCAGCCTCGTGAGTCCGTTTCTGGCATCAATTGTTGTAAATTTTCACTACTTTGAACGAAATCTTTATTAATCCATACTCAAAAACTAAATTTTGAGTTTGATAATCCCCAACTCCCGAACCGGCTGAGACTCTTAGTACCGGTCTTCATCATTCGCTTTCTTGAAGTATTCCGGTCGTATTGGTTAATTTTCAGGTCGAAGTCTTTGTCCATTTAGAATCTATGCACCCATTTATCAGACGGTGCCATTTACTGAACATTCGATCATAAAAAAATTCCAAAAAAGATCAAGGGCCAGTGTGCAATTTTTTGGCACGATATTCTTGTTCAGGACCTTCAAATTAGGGAAGGGAGTAATTTCCAGAAAAATCGGGGTTCGTTTGAGAGAGATATGGCCTAAATTCGAAAATTTCGATCCTCGAAAAAAATTTGGTCAAAAAATAAACATTTTCCAATTTGACTGAAATTCGGTTTCTAGACAAATTTCGCTCTGCAGTGTCTATTTCTGGCATCAGTTGTTGAAAATGTTGATTATTTTAGCCAAAATCCTTAAAAGCCAATTTTTGAGTTTGACAGTACA